CGAAAGCATCGCGAAGGGTTCTTCCGTGTGGAACGCCGCAGCTGAGTACATAGATGACAGACATAGAATCAACTTACTTGACTCCATACTTTACACTCTACACTTGATACTTGACTCTACACTTGATACTTACTTACTTACTTGACCCCTATGACTGACTCTCTACACTTGACACTTGACTCTATGATACTTGACTCTACACTTGATACTTGACTCTATGTTATGCTTACGACTTACTTACTTACTTACTTACTTCAATCTACTTACTAACTTACTTGACACTTGACACTGGACTCTATGTTATGCTTACTTACTTACTTACTTACTTACTACTACTACTTACTTACTTATGATTACTTACTTATGACTGACTCTCTATGCATCTATTTGCATCTATGACTTACTTACTATGACTTATGACTTATGACTTACTCTCTACATCTCGGTATCTTAATATTTCTTTTAAAGGCGGGGGTGGCACCGTCGGGGTCCATCGGGAATGCAACCCTTCACAGGGATTCGCCTCCTCGGGCGTTCAAACGCGAGGTAAAGTTACACATTTTGCGGTGCCCGCGCAACCCTTCACAGGGATTCGCTGCCTCGGGCGTTCAAACGCTAGGTAAAGTGACACATTTTGCGGTTCCCGCGCAACCCTTCACAGGGATTGGAACTCTCGGGCGTTCAAACGCGAGGTAAAGTTACACATTTTAGGCGCCCGGCGCAACCCTTCACAGGGATTGGAACTCTCGGGCGTTCAAACGCGAGGTAAAGTTACACATTTTAGGCGCCCGGCGCAACCCTTCACAGGGATTGAAACTCTCGGGCGTTCAAACGCGAGGTAAAGTTACACATTTTAGGCGCGCCGCGCAACCCTTCACAGGGATTCGCCTCCTCGGGCGTTCAAACGCGAGGTAAAGTTACACTTCTTGCGGGCGCCGCGCAACCCTTCACAGGGATTCGCCTCCTCGGGCGTTCAAACGCGAGGTAAAGTTACACTTCTTGCGGGCGCCGCGCAACCCTTCACAGGGTTTGGGTGCAGTTCAATTTTTTTTGCAACCCTTCACAGGGATTTGCATTTTGCAACCCTTCACAGTGATTGGCGTGGTCGGGTGTTCGAACGCGAGGTAAAGTTGCATTTTTTGATTTGCATTGAAATGAATTTTGCAACCCTTCACAAGGATTGGCGTGGTGGAGTGTTCGAACGCGAAGTAAAGTTGCAATTTTTGATGAGCATTGAGATGAATTTTGCAACCCTTCACAAGGATTGGCGTGGTGGAGTGTTCGAACGCGAGGTAAAGTTGCAATTTTTGATTAGCATTGAGATGAATTTTGCAACCCCTCACAGGGATTGGCGTGGTCGAGTGGTTGAACGCGAGGTAAAGTTGCAATTTTTGATGAGCATTGAGATGAATTTTGCAACCCTTCACAGGGATTGGCGTGGTGGAGTGTTCGAACGCGAGGTAAAGTTGCAATTTTTGATGAGCATTGAAATGAATTTTGCAACCCCTCACAGGGATTGGCGTGGTCGAGTTATATGTATAGTATCCATATATTATGCATTTGCCAATCCCTCTGACAAGTTGCCACTTGACCTGTTGAGTCAGGCTCTGAGCCCTCACGCTAGGCGGATCTTGATTAAGCGTTCCCACACACAGGGCATAGAGTGAACTACATCGAGTCAGGTGTATGGTACAAAGATGACTCCACGACTCCGTGACTCTATCTCACTACAACTCTATGACTTTATGAATCATGACCCATGGACTCTATGACTCTTGATTCTGTGACTTTACGATCCTATACAGTGACTCTATCTCACTACGACTCTATGACTCTATGTCACTACAACTCTATGACTTTATGACTCATGACCCATGGACTCTATGACTCTTGATTCTGTGACTTTACGATCCTATACACTGGATCTACCACATAACCCCACAATCTTCGCTGATGATGCTTTCGGGCCAATTGCCTTCTAGTTTTAAATATTTAAATTATTTGATTTGTTTAAATTATTTAAATAGGGACGGAAACTGTTTTTTCACTCCAAGGGAGGGTGAGGGGAGGGGGGGGGCAGGGAGGGAGGAGGGGAGGGAGGGAGGGAGGGAGGGAGGGAGGGAGGGGGGGAAGGGAGGAAGGAAGGGCAAGAGAGGGAGGGTGAGGGGAAGGCAGGGGAGGGAGGGAGGAAGGGAGCAAGGGAGGGAGGGAAGAGGGAGGGAGGGAGGGATGCAGGAGACAGGGCGGGAGGAAGGTCCCTCCCCTCCCCCACTCCCTGCCTCCCTTCCCAAACCTGAGAGTTTAGGGCCTAAGCCACCCTCCCCACCCCCATCCCCCCCGCAGCCCCATCTCCATCCCTTCACCCTTCCACCCCCTACCCCCCCCCCCTGCCTCCCCTCCCCCTTGCCCTGCCCCCACCCCTCCCCCCACCACCCGACCCCTAATCCAGCCCCCTACCCCCCGGACCCCTTCCCCTCCCATCACCCCCTCCATCTCCTCACGCCTTCTCTCCCCAGCCCCGTTGTCCCTTGCCCTCTGCCCCCTGCCCCGTGCCACCACCCAACCACGCCCCCACCCCACCCACCACGAAAATTTGATGCTATCGAACCGCTGTGTTTTCCAAGGCGCGGTTCGATAGCACCAAATTTTCTGAAAGGAGCCGCTTCCGAAAATTTGGTGCTATCGAACCGCTGTGTTTTCCAAGGCGCGGTTCGATAGCACCAAATTTTCTGAAAGGAGCCGCTTCCGAAAATTTGGTGCTATCGAACCGCTGTGTTTTACAAGGCGCGGTTCGATAGCACCAAAATTTCTGAAAGGAGCCGCTTCCGAAAATTTGGTGCTATCGAACCGCTGTGTTTTACAAAAGACGCGGTTCGATAGCACCAAATTTTCGGAAGCGGCTCCTTTCAGAAAATTTGGTGCTATCGAACCGGTGTGTTTTACAAGGCGCGGTTCGATAGCACCAAATTTTCTGAAAGGAGCCCCTTCCGAAAAATTGGTGCTATCGAACCGCTGTGTTTTACAAGGCGCGGTTCGATAGCACCAAATTGTCTGAAAGGAACCGCTTCCGAAAATTTGGTGCTATCGAACCGCTGTGTTTTACAAGGCGCGGTTCGATAGCACCAAAATTTCTGAAAGGAGCCGCTTCCGAAAATTTGGTGCTATCGAACCGCTGTGTTTTACAAAAGGCGCGGTTCGATAGCACCAAATTTTCGGAAGGGGCTCCTTTCAGAAAATTTGGTGCTATCGAACCGCGCCTTAGAATCCAGCCCCCCCCCCCCTAAACCCACCGCCCCTCAACCCCTGAATCCACCTCCACCCTACCAAAGAGTTAGCGAAGATGTCATTCGACAGAACAGCCTCGCCGTCAGGATCGGTGTTGGAAATGGGAAGAGACAGCAGGCTCCAAACCGCCGTGTCTCACCCCCCACTTCAAGGGCTAGGGATCCCACACATCTGCGGGCAAAATCTGGCGGAAGTGATCCGCCACCGAGCAAAAAGCCTGTAAATACCGCATTAAACAAAGGGCCAGGGATTTCACATATCTGGTGGCAAAATCTGGCGGAAGTGAGCAATCGGTACTTCTGTCAGATTTTGCCAACAGATATGTGAAATCCCTGGCCCTTTGTTTAATGCGGTATTTACAGGCTTTTTGCTTGGTGGCGGATCACTTCCGCCAGATTTTGCCCGCAGATGTGTGGGATCCCTGGCCGTTTTTTGAACGCGGCATTTACAGGCTTTCTGCTCGGTCGCGGCTCGCAGGGATTATACACCCTTGCCCCCACTCCACCCTCCCGCCCCCTTCATACCTCACTACCCACCCCCCTATCTCAGCCCCTTGCCTCGTACCCCATCACCACCCACCACCCACCACCTATTATCCACCACCCGGCACCCCTCACCCGCCACGCCCACCACCCACACCCTCCCCACCAACCACCACACACCACCCACCACACACCACCCACCACACCACCCATCACCCACCACCCACCACCCACCACTACCCAGCACCCGCCAGCCACCACTACCCACTACCCACCACCCACCACCTACTCCTCCCCATCATCGTTATCACCATCCTATTATCATTTATCATCGGTTTATCACCTTTATCACCCACTCCCCCAAACCCATCCCTCACCACGCCAGCACAAACCCCCTGCCCATTCACATCCCTCCCCCACCCCACCCACTACCCCCACCCCCACCACGAACCCATTAGGGTCCAACAGGGCTGCGGACACCCCACCCTCTCTCCATCATCTTCATCATCTTCATCATCTTCATCATCTGCATCATCTTCATCATCTTCATCATCTCCATCATCTTCATCATCTCCATCATCTTCATCATCTTCTTCATCGTCATCATCTTCGTTGCCGGTTTCATTGGTTTTAATACCGCTCCCTCTATTCTTAAAGGTAATTTCATAGGTATTGTACGAACCATAATACAATCGATTTATCTTAACTACTATATCAAGAATAGCTTACCACATCGCATCTACATACTTTGTAACCGGGCTTACTATAAAAGCCCCATATGAGGGATCCATAATGAGTTTCTAGAAAGTCTCTCTGTAAGGGATCTATAGTTTTTTATATAATGGGTTTCTATAAGGTCTCTACATAGAGGATCTATAAGATTTCTATAAGCAATCTGCAAGGGTTTTCCAGAAGGGCTCCATACGAGGGATCTATACAGGGCTTCCATGTGGTTTCTACAAAGGGTAAGGAATATATAGCAGTTGTCTATGAAAGCTCCATGTAAGGGATCTTGTAAAGTTTTCTACAAAGAACTCCATTTGTTGATCTATACGGGGTTTCTATAAGTTCTCTATATAGGGGATCTATAAAGTTTCTATACGAATCTATAAAGGCTGTCTATGAGGGCTCCATACAAGGGATCTGTGAAGGGATCTATAGGGATTTTTTCATGGGAATGTATACCTTCGATACGGATAATTGCGCCTTTGTTAAGATCGTGAAGACTATTAACTACGTGATATCCTTCTTGGCTAATGCTGTGATCACATCAGATCTGATATGTATAAAGATACATTGGAAGGCACATGGGAAAACAAACTGACACATTACAGGCCTTCTAATGTGTCAATATTCCTATTGAAACCCTAAAGGCAAGGAACTTATACACTGTAGGGCATCTGTATATTGGAAGGTCTCTGGGTAGTATAAACTGACGCATTACAGGCCCTCTAATGTGTCACTCCACTCCTTCCTATGGAACCTCTATTGCAATGGAACTTTTCCACTAGAAAACCCCTGGACATAATAAACTGACACACTGCAGGCCGTATAATGTGTCGCTCCACCTATGCTATTGAAACCCTACTGATAAGAAATTGATACATCGGAAAGCACTTTTTATGGACATAACAATCTGGCACATTATACCCACTATAATGTGTAACCCACTATAATGTGTATCTTCACTTCCTGGGTCCTGGACTGGGCAAGTTGACATATTACATGCCCTCTAATGTGTCACTCCATTTCTCCTACTGAAACCCTACTAACAAGGAACTTATACACTGTCAGGCCCCTGTACCTGGGCATATCAAATTGACATATTACAGGCACCCTAATGTGTCACTCCACCCACTCCGATTGACCCTTTACTGACAAGGAACTTATACACTGGAAAGTCCAGGACATAACAGATTGGCACATTACATGCCCTGTAAAGTGTTACTCCACTTCCCCTGTTCAAACTCTATTGACTTGGGCATAACGAATTAACACATTACAAGCCCTCTACTGTGTCACTTCATCCCTTCTATTGAAAGTATATTGACAAGGAAAATCCTACTTTGGAAGGCTCCTGGACACAGCGACCTGACACATTACAGACCCTCTAATGTGTTACTCCATTCTCCATGGAAACCTATTGACAAGGAACTTATACACTGAAGCGACCCTGTATATTGGAAGGCCCCTGGGCAGAACAAACTGACACAATATAGACTCTCTAATGTGTCACTCCACTCCCGCCTATCAAAACTCTTTTGGCGAGGAACTTATACATTCGAAAGCCCCCAGACAGAACAAACGAACACATTACAAACCTTTGACCTGTCACGCCCACTCATCCTACTGAAGCCCTCTTGATATGAAGCTGATACATCGGAAAGCCCTTCTTACGGATAGAAGAAACTGGCACATTGCAGGGGCTATAATGTTTCTCTTCACTTCCTGGACAGGGCGAACCAATACATTACATGCACTCCTCATATTGAAACCCTATTGACAAGGAACTAGTTTGTTCAGACCTGGCTTGCCTCAGTAGATATATGTAGCATATGTAACCCGCATACACGAGAGCCTTACAGAGGCTGAGGCAACGGAAATACGACGGCAATATGGCAGCAATGGTTACAGGATTGCTGTACCGCAGGTAGAACAATTGGTACTGTCACGATTGCTTCGGCTAATCTTTCTGTTTGAGTTGGCGTATGTCTTTTTGTGGGGCCTGAATGGTTATAGGCAGTTCACAGTACTCTCCCTCGGGACGTAGGATTCCTAGTTGCAGGGGCGTAGACACTACTTACTATAATTATTTTTGGTTAAATCGTTTGCAATTTCTGTTCGACTGCATTAGTACTGACACTATATATGCAATACCTAATCTATGATTGTAGTGATGCTAACTTACACTAGGTAGGATTCGCAGGGACAGAGATGTAAGCAATACTTACTATAATTAATTTGGTTGTATTGGTGTTATTCGGCTGCCATGAGTTATCAACTGCGATTCGGATAGCACGGGCAGCATTACAAGCTGCTCGAAACGGGCACAGGAGGCGCAAATTTGCTTGCGGCTGCTGTCCCGCATAAGAGTGAGACGCTGCGTATCCTGTGCCAGCGCAGACGCGAGGGGCTTACAGAGGCTGAGGCAAAGGAAAGACAACTGCAATATGGCAGCAATGATTACAGGATTGATGTACCGCAGGTACGACAATTAGTAATGTCACGAATGTCACGATTGCTTAGGCCAATCTTTTGTTCGAGTTGGTGTTTGTCTTTTTGTGGAGCCTGGATGGTTAGTGGCAGTTCACAGTTCTCTCCCTCGAGATGTAGGATTCCTAGTTGCAGGGGCGTCGACAATACTTAGTAGAATTATTTTTGGTTCCAGTGTTTGTAATTTCTGTTCGGCTACACTAATACTGACACAGTATATGCAATACCTAATAGATAATTATAGTGATGCTAACTTACACTAGGTAGGATTCGCAGGGACAGAGATGTAAGCAATACTTACTATAATTATTTTGGTTGTATTGGTGTTGCTTTCTGTTTGATATGCATCCTAATGACACGGACCTAGGTAAGAAGTATTATAAGTAGTTTGCACGTAGAGGAGGTAACTTACGCTGAATAGGATTCATAGTCGCAGTGGCGTAGACAATACTAAAAAGAAAGATTTTGGTTACACTGTTTGTAATTTCTATTCGACTGCATTAGTACTGACACTATATATGCAATGCCTAATATATGATTGTAGTGATGCTAACTTGCACTAGGTAGGATTCGCAGCGACAGGGATGTAAGCGATACTTACTATAATTATTTTGGTTGGAGTGTTATTGCTTTGTGTTCCATTGGATTCGTAATGATATTGTTATAGGTATTAATTATTAAAATTCAGTTGTCTGTATAGGTGACACTGTATATTAATCAGGTATCAACGTGGCAATGGTGTCAGCAATAATGATAAAAATATTATAGACCTAAGTAATGCTAAACTTTTCAGAGCGTAAGTCTTGTAATATAATATGTAGGAACATATGATTTAGATAGGGATCTTATATTGTATATATGGCAGACTAGTTAAATAGACCCTAAAGGTATCGGGCTCATATATATATATATATATATATTTATATATATATATACAGGCGCAGAGAGAGAGTTGCAGATGTAAATATACGTAGCTATGAATGCGCATGTGTATATATGCACATAAATACATATGCATATACTCTCTCTCTCTCTCTCTCTCTATATATATATATGTATGCATGTATGTATGTATGTAGGTAGACTTTTGCGTTTAGAAGGAAGTAGCTTGCGTAACAGGTAGGGTTCGGTTGAGACCGAGTTCGATTGCTGGATTTGCTCGTATGTTTGAGATGTCGCGATTGATTTTTTTTATAAACTTGGGTACGATTCCTGCAAAGTTCCCGTTTGCCCCGGACTCTTAGAGGTGCACTCACCTGAAACCAGGGCTTGGGGTGTAGAGAACAGTAAAACAGCGGGTTCCTTATGGAGACGCTTAGCCCTAAACAAAACATCCAAAGTGCCCCAAACCATGAAGCCCAACCCTAAACCCTAAGCCCTAAACCCATTACACCCAAGTGCCTCAAACCATGAAGCCCAACCCTAAGCTCTAAGCCCCAAGTGCCCCAAACCATGAAGCCCAACCCTAAACCCTAAGCCCTAAACCCCAAGTGCCCCAAACCGCGAAGCCCGAGTCCCAAAAGTGCAGATGCACTCCATCCGAACAGCCCTGGAGTGTAAGATAGGGGCCTTAATAATTAGAATAGGGTTCCTTTAAAGGGGTCTATAAGGTATCTATAAGGGTACTATAATGATATAGGGGCCTGAATAATTAGAGTAGGGTTTTGGGGCGGGCGGAATACAACTAGCCATAACATCTCCTGGTCGTGCTTATATGCTGAGATGGCAGCCATAGGGTTCATGTATCTTATATAAACATTCTCAAATAGACTTTGTCAGAGTTCGTTGTACTATACCTATAGGGAACAACCAAAATAGTATAGGTAATTAGGAAGGCACCTATAAAGTAATGCGGCGTGGGATCGACAAATCTTGCCCACATGGCACATGGCATCGTTGAACAGGACCTTAGGGTTCAGGGGTTCACGCCTCTTGTGACAATTTGGCTGTGGCGTCTACTATTGCGGGTTTTCGGTTTAGGGCCTAGGCAACTCGGCACGAAATCCTAACTCTGGGCATCAAGACTAAAGATATAACCCCAACCCTGAACCCTAATACATTCTAGGATGCAAGACTTTAGCAGCTGCATATCGGAGATAACATTGGGCATAACTCCAGCTTGGCTTCGACCCATCATAGAGTTGCCTTGCTAATCGGAATAGAGTTCCCCTTAAGGGATCATGGAAAGGGATACCATAAGGGTCAGCAATCCTCGTAAGATTGCCGACTACGAACAACACCCGACCTTTTCAAATCGTTGGAAGGGTTTACAACTCAGGGTTTATATGGTCTTAAGACCTGAAATACCTCTTATGAAATTCTTCCTACTTAATCCTCTTCAAAGCATGCAAACATGAGCTACAAATCCTACCCATCCCAAACGGCGCAACCTAAATCCCACGGCACAGATGTTCCAAGGCCCTCACCAGATCCATTGCCGCGTTGTTCTCGTTGTACCTTAGCACTAACGGTTCAGGACTTTAAACTTTGCCCGACACCTCTTGAAGTAAGCACAATACTAACTACTTACCTTGGTCTTGAAGTAAGCACGATACTGCATACTTACCTTGGTCTTGAAGTGAGCACAATACTACATACTTTCCTTGGAGTCCCCCTTAGAACATCCCCAACCCAGAACTCAAACCTAAAGTGCTAAGCTCTCCATCCTAACTGCACCCCGTCTGGTACCTGGAGGATCATGGGACTTAGTAAGCAGGGTCATAAGTACCTTAATTGTGATTATTAGTAATTATAAGTACAGTTCCCTTAATTATAACCCTAGTTACTAAGTCCCATGATCCTTTAATCGGGAGAGAAGGGAACCCTGGGACTGGGATAACGGTTCTTTCTTCTATAGGCCCTTTTCGAACTGCAGAACACTTAGAATTCCTATACTAGGAGGAGCCGATGGTTGGGATGGCGGTTTAGGGTTTAGGCTATCGCTCTAGGGTTTGCGGTTTAGAGTTTTTAGAGTCTAGGGTTCAGCATATGACACGAGCTCATAAGAAAATTCGGTGCACTGCAATGACTACCTGCCAAAGCGAATTGAACCCTCGAAGAACGATGCACATGAAGAGCACGTAACGATTGACACTGCATAAGACACAACCAACCTTATGGTAGATTATACAGAATATACATATATATATACACATAGTTACATCTAACCTGTATTATACACAAATAACTATAGAATATCAAACATAGTGTTTTAACTTGCCTGAACACAAACCTGATACTGCCATCCTCCGTCCAGGAGCTCGCGCAGCGCTTCACCCAGAAGGTGGCTCAATCGCTCTGTGCTCGGAATCTTGTCGTAGAAACCTCTCCAAATTTTCAAGGTTTTAGGGTTTAGGGTTTAGGGTTTAGCGGCTACCTGAAGCTACCATGGCCTCCTTCACGGCGGGGTCTGTGTAGGAAGTCGAAGACTAGAGTCTTTTAGTTTGGGGAGTATTCCGAAAATGGGGGACCCTTTTCTTTTAGTAGCCTAAATAGTAGGATCCTTATTACAAGGACCCCAAGATAAGGTACCCCTACTTTTCGGAAGCTCCCATGTGGCGGGTTAAGACTTGCATGTTGGGTTCAGGACGATCTGCGGCTCGAGCTTAAGAGGCTCCGGTGCCAGAAAACCAAGGCCTAACTGTTGATGATATAAATCCTGCATTACCCTGAGGACTCTAAAAAGTGGGAATGATGGTATATTCCTTATTATGGATAATGCAGGATTTATATCATCAACCGAATGAGTTTGGCCAAAAAGCTGCCAGCTGACCGTTGTCACTACTACTTGCCAGCCTGTACACGCCACTAGAACCCCAACCCCAAACCCTTCTTTTGGGGGCAGGGTTTCGATTGCAGGGTGGGGCTCATCTTCAGGAAACCCAACTACTAGGTCTTTCGGGTTACAGGTGGGGCTATGATCATCGGAAGCACCTCCGCCATCCATCTCCTGAATGCCCTTGGAGAAAGGAGCAAACACCAGCGGCTCGGGATTCTTCTCCTGGAAGTACTTCTGGAAGTTGAACTTGCCTGGGACAAACACTGCCCTACGCGAGGAATAATGTAGGGGCCTGAAAAAATCAGAATAGGGTTTTTGGGGGGTATATTATGTTATGTTGATAATAAGGCAAAGAATCCCCAAAGTAGCCGCTGCTCAACTTAGAAAAGAGAGACCTTGCGAACCAATCGCCTGCTACCAGCAACCCTGAACCTCCAAAATTGGGGTTGTTTGTGTACCTTAAACTGCCATGCGCAACCGCCTTGCTGGAAACCCTAGTATAGAACTTACATACATGAACCCCAACAGAAGGGGATATGTTCGTTTTAGAGTAGGCTTCGTGGTTCAGGACTTCCTTGCAAATCTAAACGGTCTGCAGCTGGGGCGAACGCACCGAAGGTGTTGCTTCACCTTAGACCCTAATCCACACCATGTCCCGCGCTAAACCCTCAACCTTGAAACAAGGGCTCACGGTGCAAACTCTACAGTTTCTGAAATATCCTAAGGATACCCAGTAACCTAAGAATAAAAAGGCCACTGTTTTTGGTATGGGTAACTTTATAAGGAACCTAGGACTACAAAAAGGGAATAAGGATACTACTGGGCATCCTAGATATGGTACAAAAGGCACCTCAAACTCGAACTAGCAATAGAAGAATAGCAAGAAAAGCTCGGTCATGGCCGTGATAAGGGTAGAAAGCGGCAATCTCCACAGCTGATCCCAAGCACTTTTTCTTGAGCCAAATAGGAAGAACCTAAAGCCCAGGTTCCCAAAGACCAAAGCCCAGGTTCCGAGGAACAAAGGTTTTCAGTACTTCAACGATAGCAAAACTAACATAGCCCTGACATTCGTCCCCTGAACCCGAAAGCCTCGGAGTTGGTTGGGTTTGGGGTTTAGGGTTTAGGGTTTAGGGTTTAGGGTTTAGGAGTTTAGGGCCTTGGGTTTAGGGTTTAGGAGTTTAGGGTTTAGGGTTTAGGGTTTAGGGCTTTGGGTTTAGGGTTTAGGGGCTTTGCCGAACGCCTGTAAACCCTTTAAATGGGACCCAAGCTGCCGAACATCTTCTTGCTCAAGTCAGCTGCCAACGCTCGGTACTTCTTCCTTTGCAACATCAACGATTTCGGATATGACTTAGGTACTGCCCCCATACAGTCTATACTAGGGCTACAACTCAGGTCCTAATATATCTATATTATGAATGTCATTCAACTATTACTGAGTGGGGGCCGTACCCAAGATATGATGTTTAGGGTTTCCCCTCAAGCCCTAAACCCTAAACCGTTTACCCTCAACCCTTAACGCTCCACCCTAAACCCTAAACCCTTTACCCTCAACCCTGAACGCTCCACCCTAAACCCGAAACCCTGTGCACCCTATGGGTGTTTGGGACTGGGGAAGTCATGCGAGCTCGTGGTTGGCTATAAGTACGGTTGAGAATAGAAATTCTTTAAAGGGGTCCATTATGGTAGCTTTAAGGGGCTCCTTTAAGGGTTTAGCGTTGATGATATAAATCCTGCATTACCTTAATGATCATAAACTAAGGGAATTATAGTAGATTCCTTACTATTGGTAATGCAGGATTTATATCATCAACCGCACCTTAGTTGGGCATACAAGTAATACTAATGATCACGATAGCACAAATCATGACATTCATCATACGAATGACAATACCAAGAATAGCACCTAGCAGCAAGCACAACAAGACTCTCCACAACTAACCGGTAAAGGCCTAAATCCTGAATCATGAAGCCCTGCAAATTCGCAAAATGTGGGGCCTTAATAATTAGAACAGGGTTTTGGGGCCCATTTTACTACAAATATAATAAGGAAGCACCAACATAGTAAAGGTAATTATTGAAATCCTGATTACCATTATAGATATGCCCCCCAAACCCCATTCTTTCAATCATTAAGGCCCCTATCTTATAGAAGCCTACTATGGGCCCTTCAAGGGCCCTTTAAGGTACCCTTTACAGGAACCCCTAAACCCCCAACCTATTCTAAGTACTAAAGCCCCGAAATACTAGTACCCTTATGAATCGCTTAAAGAACCCTTTAAAGAACCCCTTAAAAGAACCCTATTCTAATTAGCAAGGCCCTTGCATGAAATCCGTATAATAGCCCTTTTAGTAGTCCTTGTAGACCCCTTTAAAGGGAACCCTATTCCAATACTGGGTTGGCCTTTAAACACCCTGAAAAATATCTATATATAGGGTCCCTTATAAACCCAAATAAGGAAAATCCAACCTAGCTAATTACTAAGGCCCCTTTAAAGGGAACCCTACTGTAATTATTAAGGCCCCTATGTTAAACTTCGCTGCGGATCAGATCAGAAGGACTAACGAGCCGGTCTCCATAGATGCGCTCGCTTTCATGGATCCAAAGGAGAACCACCTTGAGGTCTTTTGGGTCTAGGGTTTAGGGGGTTGGGGGTTTAGGGCTTTAGGGTGTTAGGGCTTGAGGTCTTTTGAGTTTAGGGTTTGGGGGGTTGAGGGTTTAGGGCTTTAGGGGGTCAGGGGTTTAGAGATTTAGGGCTTTGGGTTTGGGGTCTAGGGTTTGGGGCTAAGGGTCTTTTGGTTTGCGCGCTTTGTTGGCAGGAGGTGTTGGGGTTTGGAGGTATGGTGATTGAGTTCAATATGGGAGTTTCCGAAAACTAGGAGTACCTTATTTGGGGTCCTTGTAATAAGGATCCTACTATTTAAAGTACTATGTTAGGGTCCCCTATCTTCGGAAACTCCCATATTTAAGGTTTGTAGTTGTGGAGCAGGCTAGACCCAAAGCCCAACATGGAAGGCCTAAACCCAAGCCTATAGTCCGAAATTCCAAACCTGAAGCAATAGGATTTTCCCTCAAGGCAACAACCCGGCAAGTACCCAAGCAACACCCTCCACTCCACTGTTCGGAACCATATGTCTCGCCTCAGAAACGCAAACCCCAAAAAATGTTATATAAAAGCGATTCTCAAAGGCTCCAAAACACCAGAGTTTAAACCCCCCAAAATCCCCAAGAGTTGGGCCCAGCGTTTCGGGTTTAGGGTTTAGGGCCTCAGATTCCCTTCCTTCCGCGTGCCTTCTCCGCATCCGCGAACTCTCCGGGCTTTGCCTGCAAGAGGCCACCGAAGACGCCGCTCATGTGACGGATGTTGAACCTTGCAGGCTTAGTATAGAGTTTAGGGTTTGGGTTTAGGGCTGTGGAACCTCGTACGCTTAGTACATAGGAGTTAGGATGAGGGGGACCCGGCCCGAGGGGATATAGATCCCTTTCAATAAGGTCTTCCTAACACTACCTAGGAGTATAGGGGTGTTCATAGTTGGAACAGGGTTACAGCTTCTACAGCAACTATATATAAGACGATGGGCTTTGTGGTATATGGATTCAAGTTAGGTTCAGGCTCACAGCTTGGGTTGGAGGGGTTAAGTGCTTGTGGCCTATCCGGCGAGGTTTCAGGCTTACGATGTACATGCGTAGTTCTGGAAAATTTGGGGTCCCTCTTCAAGTCCCAAAAATATCGTACGGCTCTGGGGCTCAAGGGCATTATGGGCTCTAGGGGAAAAAGGTAGCAGCCAAACAGACATTCATACACGCATACATGCATATACATAGCTGTCGCTCTGCGGGCTAGCCTAGCCCGCAAATGATGGTCTTCGAGGAGCAACTTTAACAAGGGTGGTGCCAAGCCAGGGTGCTCGTAGTGGAAGTTGCTGGCCGTCTTTCTGAAGTTGCTGACCTGGGAGCGTGGCTCTTGGGGGACATCCCTTGGAGCAGGGACGTGTGCCGTTCATACAATTGCAAGCTTCAGGTGAGAAAACCTTAAACCCTAAACCCTAACCCTAAACCCTAAACCCTAAACCCTAAAGGCATGTGGACTGAAAACCCATCCCGTAGCCGAAAGCACCGGCACAGGCTAAGCCGCCCCCGGCACTGCCAGGCAAAGGAAACGAGAGCCCCGGCACAATAGCAAAGTACTATGGGTTTAGGGTTTAGGGTTTAGGGTTTGCTTGTTTTGTCTTGTGGTTTCGGGATGAGGACTTTGCCCAAACACATCCTCCTGAAAAACCAACCAGTGTCCGAAGGCTTCTGAATCCTTCTTGGGGTGTTTGAGGTAATGTAGGGGGCTTCATAATTAGATTAGGGTTTTGGGGGCTCCTAAATGTAATCATAGTATAACGTACTCCTTAATCCTATTCTAAATATTCTGGTCACTATATTATGCGAGCATGTGCTCCTATCGATCGTTTAATTCGGCATCCAGGGCTCTCTCTGTCCAAAACCTCCGCAATAGGCACAGGAACCAGGCATCACTAACAACCCCAAACTCTGGACCAAACTCAGCCCATTCCAACCCTTTACAATGCCCGAAACATCCCTGAACCCTAAGTCTTCAAGACGATGTGCCAGAGCTACAGAAGCATCCGAACCTGTCAACCTCGACCCCTCAGCGGTTGTATCGTAAGCCCGAGACCCAACCCAAAAAAGGAAACCCAAAGCCCCCAAGCTCTACAAGTTTCGGGTTTGGGGCCTTGCTTGGGCTTGAGCTCTAACCTTTACCCTAAACTCTAAACCTTAAGCCCCAAGCCCTAAACCCTTAAGCCTAAACCCTAAACCCTGAACCCTGAGCCCTGACTAAAAGCCCCAAAGCCAACAGCCCTGAGGGCAAGGCCACCATCGAGTGCAGGCTGAGGGCAGCCTTGATGATGCCTGGCGATTTAAGATGTCGCCCGATTTTGCGGTTGAGGGTTTATAGCATTTAGGGTTTAGAATTTATCAAGCTGAAGGTTAATAAATTTAGGGTTTAGGGTTTAGGGGTTGGGATTTAGGATTTATAGGGTTTAGGGTTTAGGGATTTGGGCCCCTTGAAGGGTTTCCTAGAAAAGGTTCCAAAGTGGAGCAATTAGTAATTAGGGTTTGGGATATAGCCTCGCGACTTTATTCCCTCTCTCTATCTCAGTCCTTAACTAACCTCTTAGTCCATAGCCTTTGGCCCCAAACCCGAAACCAAAACCCAACTCTTCCCTCACTCGATCGTTCTCTCTTTTGGGTAATTGTCAAAATTGGGGTCCCGTTTTGGGTACCCTAAATAATGGGTGCCGTATTATATTGTGGACCCAAAAAGGGACCATAATTTTGACAAACACCCTTTTTTGTCGGCCTGCCTGAGACCTGCTCCTGCACTGGGCCCTTGAAGGGCAGACGGTCAAAGTGGCCCTTCATGAAGGTCGAGTAAATGGTCAGCAAGGCAGACCTCAAAGGATTTGGAGTAGGGATTTATAATATATAAGTTGTTCATAAAGGTCCTATCGGGGCTTTATAGGTTTTTTGGCGTGAATGTACCATAAGTAGATGGAGACTATGTGAAGGCCGTACAAGTTATGAATAAGGCAGACAGATAGGTTCGGTGTTCGGAGCTTAGAGTTTAGGGCGTCGGGTTTTGGTGCTTAGGACGTAGTGCCTCAATTACATAGGGGCTGGGGTGTGGAGATGAACTCGCATAAGGTCTAGGATGTAAGTAAGGCGCGCTCTGGGTCAAGAAACTGCTGCGCGGAGTCATCTGGTTTTTTTTTTTAAAGTGCAATGGGGCCTTTTCTCGCAGAAGGTCCAGCCAGTTTCTGGCCTGCACTGCTTTCGGGCCTCTTACGGATCCGAAAGGAAAAAGAGTAAACTCCTTGCTCACTTCAGGTCTCTCACCAGACGATCGCTTAGTCCACAACTTCCAGACCGCGACGACGAGAACTGAGGACTGGAGGATGACGATGGCTACTATCGGGCAAATCTGGGTTTAGTGTTTAGGGTTTAAGGAACATTGCGCCGAATCTCTCTTGCAGTTTACAATACTCACCCCATCATTTAGCAACAGTAGCAGCAGCAGGAGTAGCAGCGGTAGTACTGTAGTAGTAGTAGTAGTAGTAGTAGTAGTAGTAGTAGTAGTAGTAGTAGTAGTAGTAGTAGTAGTAGTAAATAGTAGCAGCAGCAGCAGCAGTAGTAGTAGCCGTCGTCGTCGTATCGCAGTATCAGCAGCAGTAGCAGTAGTACCCTTTGCAGCCCAGAGCACTGCTCCGGGAAGGGAACGGCACAGGTCCAGAAGTGGCGCTGCAGCCGCTGGTTGACCTGGAACCCCAACCCTAAACCCCTAAACCCCTAAACCCCCAAACCCCTCAACCCCTAAACCCTACGCCCCTAAACCCCAAAGTCCATCAAACCGCAAAACACTGAAGCCCTGAGTCCTGGAGCCCAAAACGCTTTGAGGCTCTGAGACCTAACCCCCCTAAAAAAAGGCACGCGCAGTCTCAACGTTTGCGGAATCCGGGGGACAGGCTTAGGGCTTCAGAGTTGTCGTGCTTTTCCTTGCAGTTGCTGGTGGTTACCCAGACGAAGAGACTCCGGGTGAAAGGTTGTAAAACGTAGGGCTTAGAATGTAGGGCTTTGGGTTTAGAGCTCAGCGTGGGGCTTTAGGTTTAGATCTTATGGCGTAGGGTTTTGGGGTCTGGGATGTAGGAGCTAGGGCCTAAGGCGCCACGTGGAAACCCTCCCATCACCCATTAAAGGTGGAAAGTCATATGCTTCAGCAGCATCTAGTACCTGTGTCGTATAGGGCCTACCGTATGGGGCCTTACTAGCTAGAACAGGCTTTCTGGGAGTATAGGCACTAACATTGGTGGGAATGTAGGCTTCTAGAAACATCGTGCCGAACCCCTGCACCCCGAGCCCCAAAACCCCTTAACCTGCCACCGTCACCCTGCTAAACCTAAAGCTCTCTTTTGTGTAAGTTGGCTTTATGGTGTGGAGTTTACGGTTTGGGGGTTTAGGGTTCAGGGGTTCGCGGTTTTTGTTGGTGACCAAGTGGCCACGAAGGAGCCGGCGGTAGGATTCATGCAGCACGCGTACCTCCACAACTGAAAAACTGGTCTTTCCTTCCAATATGGAGGCCTTAAGAAATCGAAAGTCCCAAAAACCCGCATCCTTAGCCCTAAACCCTATGGGGGTCTCAAGAACTCCGGTACGGTTCTTGGGGTATACAAGACCGTCGAAGACGGCAAGGCGATACCATCCACAACTCTTCAGATTTCTACGTGAAGCTCTGAATTAGGAATGAGGTGCACAGCGACTTAGAGCAATCAAGCAAATCTTACGGGAAAATTTACTGTGTACAGGTTGTCGGTCTGAAGATCTTCTACTGCTACCACCAGATACTGGGGAGTTCTCAACCCGGGGCTGCTAATAACGGACCTTCGAAGCCACGGCCCCGACCCGAAAGAGCCAGCACCTAACCCGAAAACAACAGTTGGGGGCGCTGTGTGTTGCCGATGTCCTTGATCAAGATCTTGGCTCGATCGTACCAATGGCCTCATGGACTTGGTGCTCCCACAATCCGTGATTAAAATGCTTCCCAAGCCTGAAAACCCTAAGCTTTAACCCTGAAACCTCAACCCCAAAACCCTAAACCCTGAACAGCTAAGGCAAGAGAGGAGTCCGAGGAGTTTCGGGTTTGGTGTGCAGCGATCGCAGAAAGCTCTTTGGAGCTTGCAGTAGGGTGCGTTTTTTGGCAGAGCTGGGGCCCCTCCACCCTAGACCTTAGGCCTTTAGGGTTCAGGGTTTAGGGTTTAGGGGTTTAGGGTTTAGGGATTTAGGGTTTAGTAGGATTTAGGGTTCAGGGTTTACGGTTTAGGGGTTTAGGGTTTAGTAGGATTTAGGGTTCAGGGTTTAGGGTTTAGGGGTTTAGGGTTTAGTAGGATTTAGGGTTCAGGGTTTAGGGTTTAGGGGTTTAGGGTTTAGTAGGATTTAGGGGTTTAGGGTTTGTAGGGTTTAGGGAAGACCGTAGCCCTGTACGGGTGGTTGTCAAAATTATGGTCCCTTTTTGGGTACCCTGAATAGTAGGTGTCGTATTATAATAGGGACCCAACAAGGGACCCTAATGTTGCCAACCACCTATATAAGACCCTATAAACCCTGAGGAGATTAGACTTCGGGATAGGCTTTGGGGTTCGAGGGTTCAGGGCCCTGTCAACTTGTGGATGCTTCTCCACAACACAAAGCCTCTGGCCTTGGGTCAGAAGGGTTTTAGGGTTTCGGGTTTTAGGTCTAAGGTTGAGGGTTCAGTGTTTCGGGTTTGGGGTTGGAGGTTTATGTGTTAACAGTTAAGGGGTCTCGGCTGACGGGCTTAGGGCTTGAAAAGCTACGATGCATGCACACGCATGATGTAGCCTGCCTAAAAGGCCAGACCCCAACTGCCTAGCTTTTCAAGGACTCAGACAAAGACATCACAATAAGGAACCCTGAATGCGTAGGGTTCTTGGGCGCAGAGCTAAAGAACGCAGCTTAGGGTAGGCCCAGTAGGCCAGTTACCCCAAACCCCAAACCCTAAACCCTAAACCCCAAACCCCGAACCCCAAACCCCAAACCCTAACCCCCCAACCCGAAATTGCGGCTCTGCGCCTTCCCACTATATAACAAGCTCAAAACGCGCCGCCCGATGCTCTCCCACGCCCAGACGTTTATAATTAGAATAGGGCTCCTTTAACGGGATCCTTCTATAGTAAGCTTCTATAAGGCTTCAGGGCTCAGAGACCCTAAACCCCACAACTATGAATTTCAGGGTCTAGGGTGTTCAAACGGGTTTAGGAGCTTCGGTGTTTAGCTGCGCGGGCCGAGCCACCGTAGTCCTGCTTCTGCTTCATCAGCTCAATGGCTGACCTTTGGTTCAAGGCTTGATAGGGCTTTAGACGGTTTTTAAGAGGGTTTTGGAAGGCTTCTGTTTGGAATTGGGGCTCTAGTTGGTTTTACTGAGTTTGATCAAGTTCTGTCAAGCCTCTATAGTCAAGGGCCTCCCTAGCCATGCTGTGACGATCAGCGTGCTACTAGAAGTAGCGCGTGCTGCCTCGAGTGCATGCGGGTTTCTTGAAGGCACGTGCGTGCCAACTCAAAGCCCTGCGTGCCACCTCAACTTTTCCGCAACGCGTGGTGCGCGCACGTGCCGAACGCAAAACTTTCAGCTGGAATGCATTTATTCTAGAAGCCAAACGAAACTGCTCAAACCCCCAAACCCTAGAGCACGTCAACAAAAAACGCGTGCTGCCTCGTTTAAGATGACTGCGTGCTTCCTCAACATTTTTCGTTTCGCATGCAAAGCACGGGCGCGCGATGCAGCACTTGGACCGCGAGATGGAATGCACTCTGCGACTAGAATGCGGGCGGCAAGGTGGTTGCAAACAGACTGCTTCAAAGAGCACTCGGGGCAGCATGCCCAACTTTAAGTAGCATGCATGGCGAGACAGAACGGCTAGTGAAAGTCTTGATATAGGGGCTGTATGACGGTTTAGCAGGCGCTTGATAATCATAACGATACTAAGAGGACGGTAGCATTGATCATTCTGACCCTCATCCCTGAACCCATAACTGTCGATCCCAAGCCCTATATCCTAACGTCCATAGGCTCGGCGGTGCTGCGATTGAGATCAGCGCCGCACGAAAAGTCCGCCTACAGCTTTGATAGTTTACAGCCAAAGCCATACAATCAAGCGAAAGCCGTACAACCAAGCGGAGCTCAGGAGATAAGTTCCTGTTTTGCCAATAAGTCGCTGGGTGTTATACTTATCCAGGGCCGGCATGTTCAAGTCATCCACGAAGTAAATGAGCTGCCTCAGGTGAGGAAAAGTTGACATGGGGGTTTCCGAAAATTAGGGGACCTTATTTTGGTGTCCTTATAATTGGTGTCCTTATAACAAAGATCCTACTATTTAGGCAACTCCCATATCGATGCACAGGGCTACAAGGCAACAACTTAAATTCGAGCTTAAGGATACCTGGCCGGGCTCTACGATAGAGTACCTGTAATTTGTGGGTGGTTGTCAAAATCATGGTCCCTTTTTGGGTCCTTATGATCATACGGCACCTAAGGGTACCCAAACGGGGCCATAATTTTGACAAGTACCCTTACATGTCGAGCACGACGCAAAAACCCTAAAATGGGAGGTTCCGTGGGTTTATCGGTGGGACTTTGGGTTTGAGGCCGTCGAAGTCTACAGCCTTACAGGATCCATCAAATAGGCCCTGTTCTTGTGAACTGGTGCCTACGAAGTTGCAGAATGGTAAACAACTCACAATTACGAAGAATTAACAGCATGTTTGTAAGGTCCCTTTAGTGGGACTTCTGGTTCAGGGCACCTCTGAACCTCCAACCTCTTGCAAACATTGCGCATCTTCGCAGAAAGGACCGACGGATTCTCCAGACCGACAAGACTCGGACGTGAGCCCTCGAATCTTCGAATACAGTCGAATAATGTAGGAACCTGATTAAGAAACCTTGGGCCTCTATTAGGGTTCCTTGTATGAATCCTACTATTTTGGAGTTATAGGCCCAGGGTTTCTGAATCAGGTTCTTACATTACCACGAACAGAAGCCCAAAGTAAGTCCGAAACTTCAGACAAAGCCAACACCCCAGCCGCAAACCACAAACCCTCCACAGTAACCCTAAACCCTGGGTTTAGGGTTTAGGATAACCCTAAACCCTGAACCCCGAAACAGTCCCAGAGACTAAATCGCAAACGGCATGTTGGACAGCTTGCATTGTGGAGGGATTCTTGGAGGAGCAGGGGACGTAGTAAGTAAGGCTCAAGGAGTGTACAGGGTCCTGTGGGTCCTATGAGGGTTCTAGAAGGGTTCTATGGGGGGTTTATGATATAAGGGGTGTAATTACTTGTTTTGGAGGATCAGGGGACTTAGTAAGTAAGGTCACAGGTACCTGATTGGGCTATATGTAATTGTTACATCCGCCACCTTGTGTATAATCCTACAGTCAGTACTCGAACACATATGAGTTGAGTTGAAGCAATCTTACATCGGAAACCGCATGCCGCATTCAAGCCAGCTGCAGCTTTCCCGGAGGTGCATACAGCTTGCCGGCCTCGCAACTGCGAGTAGCGGATGTTTTGACTCAAGCTTCTTGGGGGGTTCCGGGTTTCAGGCGTGAGTAGCAGAAGGATGTCCATAGTACCAAGACAAGTTTCAAACTACTGCTTTGGTTCTGCGGGGGTTTGGGGAGAGCTGTAAATAAGACAATAGTGCAAGTGCCCCAACTGGGGCCCTTGCAACGTCACTAACTAAGCCCCCTCAAATTGCTGTGCCCGGCACGGTGTGCTGAACAAACACTTGTAGCACCCTTGTCGACACATCGTGGAAGGGTTGGCAATTAGGGGTCTACATTCATTATTCATTGACTAGCTTTTCTAACCATGACTAGCCCTGAACCACAAATTCTGAATCTCCTAAACCCCAAGCCTTGACCCCAAATCCGATGCCCAGATCTACGCCCTAATCGCCGGCCTTCTTCTCCAGCGGATTCTCCATCATCGTCTGCAGCAATGTGGAGTCCGTGTAGTAGCTCATGTTCATGGCCTCAGTTTAGGGTTGAGGGTGTAGGGTGCCAGGCTGTAGTAGCAAATGTCCATGGCTTGGGTTGTGTTCCGTACATGGCCAGTGGTAAGGGTTTAGGGTGTAGGGCAAGACAGCCTGGACAGAAGCACCACGCGTGCCTCTGCGACTACGTCATCATCTGCCATCGGTATTGTTGCCGACATCACTGCAATCATCTTCATCACCGTCATCACCTGCCTGACACACACACACGCACACACAAGCTTGACGCGATGGTCAGCAACACCGACACCATCCACTTCGACCGCTTGTCTTCAGCATCACCAAAGCCGGCAGCATCCTCGCCGATATCACACTGGGAGGGCTGGGAGGTTCAGAGTCTAGGATGTCTGATACGTGGTCAGGCTCAGCACGACATGGTTTGCCAAAGCCGGGCCCGACCATTTAATGACTAGAATAGGGTCTTGGGGTACATTATGCCATAATTATACGATGGAAGCCCACCAGTAGTATTGAGTATTGGTAATTATAGAAGGCATCAACCTACGAGGGCCAAGGTTGCAGAAAAGAACCCCCATCAAAGCCCAAGCTCTGTGAGACAAGGGGCACCAACGTCCTCTACTGCAAGCTCTGGAGAACGGGCTTCCAAAAGGTGGGGTATGTAGGCCGAGGATCTCGAAGCAGGAAAGCATCCAAGAACCAAGCACGGCACCACCGTTAGGGTTATGTTTTAGCTTTGTTGTCTAACCTTGTTGCACTCATCTCCAAGGCGAGAGGCATAGTAGGTGAACACATCCGGCGGAAGCGACTTCAGCAAGCCCAAGCAGGACCTCAGACGCCAAACTGCCACCCTCTATGATCCGGTAGTAAGACCTGAAGTAACCTGAAACCACACATCCCGGCACCCTGATCCCTTTTCATGCCATCACCCAGAGCCAATACAGCAACACCACAGAACCCCTATAAGTCCGGAAAGCCCAACCCCGGCGCACCTTCCATGCACAGCTTCCGGCTTTCGGAGCACTGCTCCCCTTGCCCCCCTAACAAATCCTGTAAGGTAGAAGCCAGAAAGTTGGAATATGATTATCCTAACCCTTCTATGGTAAATTATAGGGGATCCTACCATTAATCCATATTCCAACTTTTTGGAGTTCCCTGTAATAATAAACCCCTAGACCTCGGACCCCAACCCTAAACCCCGTCCCTAAACCCCTGAACCGCCACCAGGTGCGGAGCTTAGTTTTTCTCAAGCTCGAGACTTGGGTTTACCGAATAGAGTTTCATTTAAGCTTCGCATTCAACTGTTGGATCCGGGTTTGGATCGAGAACCTCCCGACTAAGAGGGTCCATATATACTACGATCATGGACGTAAGTCCCTAAAACCCGTCATCAGGATGGTCTTGTGGGACCTACCTCCATAATGGTCGTACATATGAACCTTTTGGGAAACCTTAACAAGTAGGTTTCGAGCTGGCGCTAGCTGGGACCCAGTTCCGGCTTCGAAACCCCGTCGGTAGTTTGGCGCACAACCCCCAAAACCCCAAAAACACTGTGTATAACCCTGATTATATACTGAAGTCCCAGATTAGAGTTGCAAGACATAGAGGCTTTGGGTTTCCGATATATATATATATATATATATACATATATATATATATACCCCAAAGTCCAAACTCTCAGGTCCGAAACGATATGAAGCGCCCAGTGTACAGGGCTTCAGGGTTCAGTAATTTAGGGCGGATTGTCCGTAAACCCTAAACCCTAAGCCCTAAACCTTAAACCCTAAACCCTAAGTTCAATTTTTTTGTGAAGGAGCTGGGTCTTTCCGCACCCGGCGAGTCCGATCAGCATGACCTCATGGAGAATTGGACTTCGGTTTGAAGGACTCAGGGTTTGGGGTGTAGGGTTTAGGGATAGAGGTTCCGGGTTTACGGCTGCATTTACACCATGGAAGCAAGGGATGGAAACTCGTTTGCACAGGAGGAAGGCAGACCTTCTCCAAAATTAAAAGGAGGGGCCCTTAATAACGACCCTAGGTATATACCCTTAATATAGCTAGTATATACCCATTATATAGGCCAGTATAGGGTAGGGGCCCCCATTAAGGGTCCCTCCTTTTCCCCTTTGATTCGTAGGATTTCAGTGTTGGGCTTCCGGGCTTGAGCATGTTGGTGCCTTCGGTGTTGGCGCTTTGCGGCTTGGACTTCACGGCTTCGGCTTGTCTTAGGTCTGTTTCGATGATGGGCCTCACGGTGCAAAATATGATTTGATACACCATGCAGAGAGAGAGGAAGGAATAAAGAGAGAGAGAGAGAGTGCTTCTTCTTCCTTGTGTGTGTGTGAGAAGTTACAGTATGGTTAAATTAATTTTTGTGCCGTTTGCGATATGTCATGTGTGCGTGCTTCTATCTTTGCAGAGGTCAAAAAAAAGACATTAGAGGCCCAGAAAAAGATCCACCGGGGTCCGAAAAAAAAACACGGGGTCAGTTACGAGACATTTCGGGGCCGAGAAAAAGACGGCTTAAATCCTAGAGTGGAGGTCGAACAAAAGATCGTAATCTTTTTCTAGACCTCGTCGCGGGGCTGAAGAAAAGATGGAGGTCGGGAAAAAGATATGCCGAGAGAGAGAGAGAGAGAGAGAGAGAGAGAGAGCGAGGGAGGGAGCGAGGGAGGGAGGGAGGGAGGGAGGGAGGGAGTGAGCGGAGGAAAAAAGCAAGAACAGCAGGAAGCGGGGAGGCTGCATCTCTTTCTGCTGATGGATAATATCCCTGCATTGTCCATATCATGGCTTGGGGCTTTACAGCTGTGGGACTGCTTGTCGGGTTGTAGAGCTTGGGATTTTGGGGTTTTAGGGCCTCGGGTTCAGTGTCAGGGAAGACACGATAGTTCCCACGGTTCAGGGTAATAAAGACAAAGACAACGGGTGGTCATCCCCCTTAGCTTTAAGCCCCACCACATGTTACCGCAAGTCACATAATCATATAACTTCCTACTGTTGATGATATAAATCCTGCATTACCTTAAGGACCCTAAACTATGGGAATTATGGTATATTCCTTTTTTTGGGTAGTGCAGGGTTTGTATCATCAACCGTAGGGCCAACCTGGCTCACGGAAGCCCTACCAGCCCTTCAAGGGAATTAGGGAATTAGGGTTTAGGGTTTAGGGTTTTACTAAAAGCAAGAGAGAGAGAGAGAGAGAGAGAGAGAGAGAGAGAGAGAGAGAGAGACAGAGAGAGAGAGAGAGAGAGAGAGAAATCGACTCCTGGCAAGGAGACGGGCACCCGCGTTGTCTCCGCCCCGAAGGGTTAAGACGCAAACGGGGCATGGGGCTCCGCAAGCGTCATGGCCCCATGCGAAGCGGTTTTACTAAAAGCAATGGATCTGGAAATCGAAACCGCCCCCTCTCCGAGTTTACACAAGACAGCCCTGACGAAGCCCTGATGGAACCTGACAATTTGGGGCTTAGGGCTTGAAGCTTAAGATTTATTGTTCCTGATGCCCTTGACTGGGAACCAGACTGCCCTGAAGCCCTAGACCCGCAACCCTGAAGTCCCAAACCCTGAAGTCCTACATGGTAAGGGACCATAATACTGTACCCTGAATGGTCAGGTACCCCTAATTTTCGGAAACTTCAAACCCATATAGTACACTGTTGTAAGCCTTTAAAGGAACACCCTAGACCCTAAACCCTATCCTACCTCTAATCCTCTTTCTCCAGGTAGCCGGATGATGCTGCTCGAAGAGAGCCCTGGAAAGCAACGAAATGGGCCGAAAAGGGGACTTACGGCTGTAGGGGTTCCGCAAATTTACTGTGCAGGGCTTTGGGGCGTTGGGGGGGGGGGGGTTGGGGGTTTGGGGTTTAGGGCTTTAGGGGTTCAGGGGGTGGGGTTGACAGTTGAGGGCCTTGAACGAATGCCTGCCCAGAGGGCGTCGTGTGGATCTTCCTAAAGCTAGCATAGTGTGGCATTATGGTGGACGCCATATCAATCCCAGAGAAGGTCCAAGCACCCAAATACTGGAGTTGTAGGTACCAAGAAATTTCGGAGAAATGCCTAAAACGCTACGAGGCCCTAGTGTTTGGGTACTTGGAATGTCTGGGAATAACGAGACTGAGCAAAGGAGGCTCGAGGTTAGGGGATATGCACGGAGGGGCTTTGCAGGATGGGGGCTCGCGGTTTCAGACGTAGGGTGTGTTTAAATAGGCTTGAAGATCCGGGCATTTAAGGTTTACAGGGAAAAGGTTTGGGATCGTGGCCTGAGCTTCATCTTCTCGTCGAAAGTGAAACATTGTACGCATAAAAACCCCAAGGGGCGAGCGGATTCGCTTTCCTTCTGCTTTGCAACCAACAGATACCCGTACCCGAAATGGCAATTCATACCACCCAGTGATGCCAGTTGCCGACGCTAACACACTAGCAAGCTCCCTGATATGTGGCCCGACAATGCAAAGCAGACTTGCGGCAGCAGAGTCCTTATCACCTGGGCCCTCAATGAAATGAGCCCTCTGGGTGTTCCTAATGACAAGCATGTTGAGGTTCCTTTTGTAATGCCTGTATAAGGATAATGGTACAATAAATGTGGATTATAAAAGTACTCTCCCTATTGGGGTCGTGCGTAGGACACATGCCGCAAAACTTGCCTAAACTTGGTAGAGGAGGGACATGCCCCTTGCTGTCCCGGAGCCTTTGACAGATGATTCCTATCATTCTAAAAGCCATCCAACCCTTCGGATGCTTGGCAGCCATTTGTTCGTACCACACTACAGGTGAAGCAGAACGAAAAGCAACTTCCCTACACATCAAGGCGATGTCGCAGTGTCTTGCAGTATGCGCTCAGAGGTCTAAGGAGGAACGTCGGGGTTAGATAGACATGGAAGAACTTTCGTACTGGCTTTGGAAGCTCCGATGGCCCGAACAACCAAATACGGGAGTGCAGCGGAAAATCTCAGACTAGAAATTCTCCAGGAAAGACGCCCCAAAATCCCGCGACCTCCATCACCCTACACCCATAAAAGCACATCCAAGAAACCCTAGTCGAATCATGTATGGCCCCTATTTCAAGCCCTCTAGAACTGACTAACATGCACAGACCGCAAGGGTTTCTGAAGGAGCGCCTCATCAAGAAGGTCATCGCCACGGTCTCGTTCGTGGGGACCTCGCTGAGCGGAATGCGACGGGATCAGGGTTTCTGCCAAGGGTCTGAGGTGCTTCGGAAGTAGGAGTTTAAAGATCAGGATTTGGGCTTTAGTGGGGTTTTGTGTTCGAGGTTGCCTTTGCGGATTCTTGTTTAGGGTTGACGGCTCGAGGATGAATTTAGGGGCTCAGGGTTTCGAGCTTCAAGAGCAACGGGGTCTGCATCTTCGGGCCGCTCGCTAATATTTCACGACCGGAACTAGTTGACAAGTGATAGACACAGAGAAATAAGAGACTCACAAACACAGAACGACAGAGAGAACCATGCAATGCCAGCATCCAGATGCAATGTCTATGCCATACTTCCAAACCCGAAACCCTGAAGGCTCGCCCACACATGGGAGTTTTGGAAAATTGGGGTACCTTGATTTTGGGGTCCTAGAACAAGTGTAATCATCCCTGCGAGTCGGAGCCCGAAATTCAGGTTTGCCCCGTGCCCGAGCCCGAGATTCAAACTCCACGTGGGTAGTTGTCAAAAGTCTGGTCCCTTTTTGGGGTACCCTTATTAAAGAAAAAAAAAAATATATATATATATATATATATATATATATATATATTAGGTGCCGTACTATATTAGGGACCCAAAAAGTGACCATTAATTTTGAGAACCACCCATGTCGTCCCCTTCTGTCTGGTGCTTCGTAGGGAGGAGGGCAATGGATCCCTATGATAGCCCCTTAAGGTCCCCTATAGTTTAGGGTTTAGGGTTTAGGGTTTAGGGTTTAGGGAGTAGTCCCTGTAACCGATTTCCCCTATTCCCTACTCACAACCAGACACTCTGCCTCTTACAGAGTCTTACAAAGCTCTGCTCTTACACTCGAAGATACTGACGCGAGCACTCCGGACTTCACGCTACCGGATGCTGGCTCTTCAAGCCCCTGCAGCTATCTAAAAAAACCAAGCCACTGGTAACGAGTATGACAAGATCATCAGCTTCAACATCATCATCACCAGCATCAGCATCAGCATCATCATCATCAGCAGCATCACCATCATAATACCCTAAGCCCTAAACCCCAAACCCTAAACCCTAAACCCTAAACCCTAAACCCTAAGCCAAGGGACCGTCACTTCGCCCATGGGCGTCTCGCTGGAGTACTCGAGGTTCTCCACTGCGGAAGACCACTCCTCGAACTTGGCATCTTTGACCTCGGCAACACTACCTTTGGTTAGCATAAAGGGGTCTATAAGGGTTACCATAAGGGATCTATAAGGGTACTATAATATAAGGGCCTTAATAATCCTATAACACGGCACAAGGGTCCGAAAATGGGGACCTCTACCTTATAATGGCTATATAATGGGTATCTATTAGCTATATTAAGCTTACCTTTGGTTAGCAGGGAAGGGAGGAATGGGGTACAATTATAATTACTATTACTACCATTCTTCCATTCCCTAACCAAAGGTAAGAAAGGGGTCCGAAAATGCCGGAGAAGTGGACGGGGCAGTGGGGGGGCAGGGCCTAGGGTTTCGGAGATAGGGTCGAGGGTTATATGGCTCATCTAAGGGGGCTGGTCTTCACGATCCACCATGTTAAAATGCCGTTCGCAGAAATGCTGCTTTGGCAAACCGTGTGTGGCAGTTAAGAAACGCGCGCTGGCACATTCCCAGCCCGGGCTTTTGGATCTCCCACGGGATGGAGAGCTGACGCAGATTCAAATAATTGTCCGCAGATTTTTCAAAACTCGCGAACAAAAAGAACATCTGCATCTATCTATCTACATATTTAAACATATACATATATATATATATATGTATACATATGTGCACACATATACATACACATGTACTCAGTTATATTCATATACATGTAGTTACTGTCTTTCCTTCTTCTGCTTTATTGGTGTCTTTAAGGGTATTTATATGTATACCGAATGAAAATATGAATGCAAGCTTGCGTGTGTATAATAAATATATATATATATATATATATATATATATACATACATATACATATACATATACATATACATATACATATACATACACATGTACATGTACATGTACATATACATATACATATACATATAAAAATACAAATACAAATACAAATACAAATACATATACATATACATATACATATACACATACACATACACATACATATACATATACATATACATATACATATACACATACACATACACATACACATACACATACACTTACATATACATATACATATACATATACATATACATATACATATACATATACATATATAGGTGCGTGTGTGTATATATATATATATATACACACATACATGCGTATACAGATATATATTTATATATACACACATATGTATACACATATGCGACCTGTTTCTCTACTACTTATGTAGTTATCACATTGTCCCATAACGATTTGCTTCTGTATTTGTCTGTGTGCATATATATATATATATATACTTATACATGTATATACGTGTGTATAACTCGCAAGGTCAGCCCTGCGACGTAGTAGTCGAAGATGCCTCCCTTGGACGGATACTTGACATTCTTCATCTCGCCCTTCCACCAGTTGCCTTACCGGTGGGCTTGGGGTTTGGGGTTTGGGGTTTGCGGGTATAGGGGTTTAGGGGATTAGGGAATCAGGGTTAAGAGGTCACGGTAGGGTTCAAGGATTCGAAATTGGCCACTGACAGCGAAGATTGTGCGTTACTGCAATTGGTCGAGTAAATAGGATGAGCAGAACTGGGTTCAAGAGTTCAAAGCTCCAGCGCTAGACCCTGAACCTTAAAACCCACAAACCCTGAGCCCTAAAGTCCAAAAATCTAAATCCTAAACTAAACCTTAAACTTCCAAAAGAAACCCTAAACCCCCTAAACTATACATCCTGAACCCCTAAACCCTAAAAACCCGCCAAACCCCTGAACTCTAAATCCTATGAGTAAAAATGGCAGCGGAGTCGGGTTGCTGAAGTTCTTGCGGTAGTCGACGCCATCCACCTCCGAGAGGCACAAGCCAACGGCCGAGGTGAAGCAGAACATGAACCAATACCTGAGATTCTAAGGGTTTATGGAGGTTTATCAGGATCATAGGGTGCTTTGGGGGTCTTTATTATGAACCAATACCTGAGATTCTGAGGGTTTACTTACTAGCCCAATAAGCCACAGAAATGAAAGGTTAAACTATTCTGATTCCTACTAAACTATAAGAGCCCGAAAGTTTAAAGGTTGGGTATTGGGGATCTAAGTTTATGAAGGTTTATCAGGATTCATGGAGGTTGGTAAGGGCTTATAAGGGTTTAGAAGCAGAATGTGAATCAACGCCTGAGAGTTGTAGGAAACAAAGCTAAGGCTTAGCCTTTTGATTCATCATAGGGTGCTTTGGGGGTCTTTATGACGAACCAATACCTGAGGTTAAGGTGGTTTAGGGATTTCGGTTAAAAGTTTCGAGGTTAAGGTATGGGGCTTAGGTCTAAAATGAAGAAATACGAGAGATGGTGCGGGTTTAGTTTGTGTTGCAGGTTGATCAGTTGATCTGAGGATTGCTTGTCAAGGTTAATACCGGGGCTGAAGGCTAAGACCCCAAACCTTGAACCCTTGGGGTGTAGGGTTTCACCAAAACTAACTGTTGAAGTGTCCGGGGCCCTCAACCCTGAACATCGAATTGCGATTGTCAGGAAGCCTAGGTCTTTATGAGCATTTTCTGAAGTACTTGTTCTGGTTCATGAAGCCCTAAACCCTAAACCGAAGCTCTATCAGAGTCTAGCGCATTTGGATTTCAAGTTGGAAATGGTTTGCCGTCAAGTTGAAACCTAGGAAACCCAACAGCCTTCGGGTTGCTCTCAGCCTTGCAGCTAAATTGCAAACTCCCCGCGCGACCCCCCTAAACCCTAAACCCTAAAAGCTCCCCTGAAACGTAAGTACTAAACCATAAACCTGAGTCTGAACCCCAAAACCCTAAATGGGAGTCTCCGAAAATAGGGGTAGTTTATTTTGGGATCCTTATAATAAGGATCCTATTATTTAGGGTGCTATATTAGGGTCCCCTGTTTTCGGAAACTCCCAAATTGCAAACTCCCCACGGCCCCCTAAAAGCTCCCCCTGAAACGTAAGTACTAAACCATAAACCTAAGTCTGAACCCAAACCCTAAATACCTGAAGCCCTAATTCATCCTCAAGACCCTTCATTTTCGTCAAGTCCGCTCGGTGAGTCGTAGTTGGACCCAAAGCCCTAAACCCTACTCCTCAGAATAAAATTCTGTCAAGTCCGCTCCAGTGAGTCGTAGTTGGACGGGTTGAGGAGGTTGTCCAAGAGACTGCAGCAAGCGCTGATAAGACAGATGTCGACCTCAGGAAAGGCAGGCGATGCCCCTGTATTACAAGGAAGCTCTACGGATATGAATAGTTTTACATCTATATGTATCTACACATGCATACATACATGCATACATAGAGAGAGAGAGAGAGAGAGAGAGAGAGAGAGAGAGAGAGAGAGAGAGAGCCATGCACATCTCGACATTTGTACAGATGCACTGACCCACCCATCTGCTCAGCTGAGGCTCGAGAAAACGACATCTACTGGCGCAAGCTTGTTTCAGCCTGCCTCAAAGAAGGTATTGTAGGAACCTGATTAAGAAACCCAGGGCCTATAACACCCAAACTAGTAGGTTTCATCTAAGGAACCAGAATAAAAGCCTAAAGTTTCTTTAATTCAGGTTCCTACATTAAAAGCACTTGGTCATCCTTGCCTAGCTCTTGTGACCCGAAAGTTTACGCGTAGGCTAAGGTCGGTGTGGCAACTGTCGGTGTCAAACTGGTCATAAGCTCCTTCTACTAGACCGAGTCCTGAAGCCTAAACCCCAAAACTTCGAAGAGGATTCTCAAACTTCTAATTACTATTGGATTTAGGGCTTAGGGCTTCGAGTTACATCAACATGAAAGATGTAAGTCACCTGCTGAAACCCCCGCTTCATATCCCCAAGTCCTCAACTCGATAGCCCTGAACTCCTGAGCACCCATAACCGAAACTCCGAATCCCCTAACCCCTCAAACCCTGAAGGCTACACCCCTGAGGTCGTGTACCATGGGAACCAAGATCTTGGTGTTCTTGAGCATCCACAGCGTAGTGCTGGATCCGCACCTGGCACGGGGGTCTGTACTTCCTGGCTCAAAGGGGAAAAGGAGGGACCCTTACTGGGGACCCCTACCCTATAATGGGCTACATAATAGGTATATAGTAGCTATATTAAGGGTCTATACCTATATAGGGGTCCTTATTAAGGGTCCCCCCTTGTACCCCTGGACTTGCTCTTAACCCTAAACCCTAAAACCCTAAACCAGTCGTTGAACCTTGCGACGAGCGACAACAACTGCAAATCCTACCCTCGACTTATGGTTAGAGCCAGAAAGTTGGAATATGATTATCCTAAACCCTTTATGGTAAATTATAAGGTATCCTACCCTGAAACCATATTCCAACTTTCTGGAGTTCCCTTTAGCCATAACTTCTGAACCCTAAAGGCCCAGAGCCTGAAACCCGATGCCCAAAGCCTAGGGCCTAGGTTAGAAGGGGCCCTCACCCTGTAATAGTGACTAAAAGGATTATATTAGGGCCCAAGTATGTTCCTATGATCTACTATTAAAGGTGGGGGCCCCTTCTAAGGCCTAGGTCACAAACACCAAGCTCTAGATGAGACTCTAAATCCGAAATCCTAAATCTAAACCCGGAGTATGCCCTGAAGCCTGCGCCGTCAAACCGGCATCCTAGACCCAAACCCCGAAACCCTTCACTTATCTAGAGATCATAACAACTAGACTAGCAATAACACCCCCTGATTACTACGATATACCGCAAAGCCCTCTTCCGATTGTCAAGACTCGTGCTAGGTTCGACCCTATTTATGTCCTACACTTGAGCCTATAAAACCTATGAAAACCCGCAGCAAACCCCGCAAAAGGGGCTCCTGCGAACGTCCTATAAAACGCCGAACAAATCCATCACCAATAAACCCTCCGAAGGAGCCTTCCGAACCTAAATCCAAGGCCCTAAAATGTAAAGCGTAAACTAAACCCTAACAAACCCTAAACCCTAAAGCCTAAGCCCTAAAGCCTAACAAACCCTAAACCCTCAAAGCATAAACCCCTCAAAAGGCTGAGAAGGGAGCCTCTCGAAGAATGTCCACAGCTGCTCCTTCACGTTGTCCGGATGCTCCTGCGAAGCCATGGCTGGAGGTGGGTTCAGGGTTTAGGGTTTAGGGGTTGAGGGTTTAGGGTTTAGGGAGCAAGATTTGGGAGTTTCCGAAAATTAAAGGTACCTTATTTTGGGGTCCTCTTAATACGGATCCTACTATTTGGGTACTATATTCGGGTCCCCCATTTTCGGAACCTCCCATGTGGGTTCAGGGTTTAGAGTTTACGGCGCCTCTGTTCCAAGCAGCCAAGACGTCTCAGAAATATCCAGGGGAAAGGGGACCGGACGCTGGCGGGTTGTCTTCTTCTTCTGACTAATATCGCAAGGATTACTTAGTGGTGTTTCTAGCATGGCTGCTAGTGTTACTGCCATGGTGAGTACTGCAAGAAACAGTTGGTGTTCAACTACCTACAAGGTGCCTTCAGGTTTAGTCTAGTGGTTTCAGGCTTAATCACTTAAATCCTTAACCCTGTCGGGGTTTAGGGTTCCTGAACCCTAAACCCTAACTAAACCCTGCTACCCTAAGACACTAAATGCTAGGAGTTGTCGGGCTTAGGATAGCAGGAGCTCAGGCTTCGATCCCTGTCGGTTTTCGGGACTTCTCTATGAGGGTTTGGGGGTTTAGGGTTTAGGGTTTGGGGTTTAGGGTTCAGGGGTGTAGAGGCTCAGGGTACGTCAGGATCTTTTTAAGTTCACTTTAAAGAGATCTCGTTCTACTCTTGCAGAGGTACCTCGGGGCTGAAACTAAGGGTAGTTGTCTAGGGCTTGGGGTTGAAACTTTCCGGGTTGCTTTTGACACCGGCTTATAAACTTCCGACTCCTATCCCTGTTCGGGGCTCCTCTCTTCGCGTGTGTTGGATCACATAGTTTGAGTGGCTTGTTTTTGGGGTTTGGGCGTGATAGTGTAGTATTATCTTACAGAGATTACAGACGATGTCATATCACGAACACGAGTCGTTCAGACCTCTGTTGTAAGCCTTTCCACTGTCCAGGTCCTGCTTCTTGATCCAGCTCTTCACATAGGATCGCCATTGGACGCCGAAGGTGTCATCCATGCCTTAATCTTCAGATCGACTTAGGGCATCTGGAGCTGAAGACTTTGGGTCTTCCGATTCCTGCGTTGCATGAGGCATACATAGAGCAGTAACAAGGCCAGAAGAATTTGGCTCTACTGTACGACACTTAGATCAGCGGTTCCAACGGAAAAACACGGAACTCGTCATCCTAAGCCGTGGGGCAGACGATACCCGCACGTGTGGCCGTGGCAGGCGTGGCATAGTTCAGGTCTCGGATCTCGAAGATCATCTTCATGTGCACCTTTTGGGTTTAGGGTTTAGGGCTTCCCATACAAAATGGCTTGGGGTTTACGGCTCTGTCTATCCATTAAGCAGTCTGAAGTAAGCATCAGGGATTGGGGTCTGGCTTCGGCTTTTCTTTGGCTTTATCGGCGTTGAAGCTTTCGGATTCCTGAGCTGGATGGCTTTTGGGCATAGGCTCAGGGTCAGTCCCGACTCTCACAACGCCAAAGCCTTACAAGCCCTTACTCACCCTTTTAGGGTGGAAAAGGCGGTGAACTACAGTTTGAGGGGCGCAACGGGTTTCGTAAGACTTGGGATGCTGTTGGGGGCTGCTCATGGTAAAGATCCTGCTATTTAGGTCGATCTTGGGCGTAGTCAGGCAGCAACCGTAAACCCCATGAACAAACAGCTTGTCAAACCCTTCCACAACCATTTTATGAAACCGCATTACAAAACCCTAAAGCCTTCTACACAACCTGTCCAAAACACTTCATTCGAAAAACAAAGCTTTACAGAAGACAATCGTAGGAACTTAGATCAGGACTTCTGACTAAGGTAGCCCTTATGCCTGGGAATAACCTTAAACCCTGAACCCTAAACCCGGAATTGACTCCATAGAAGTCCATGCTGCCTTCAAGGGGATTCGCTCGTTGGAGGGCAAGGTCAGCAGCCCTGTGGGTTGCGGCCGGCTTTGAAAGCTTTCACAGGGATCTTACGAGCTTAGGGTTTAGGGTTTAGGGTTTAGGGTTTAGGGTCTTAAAGCAGGGGCCTTAACAGGATCTTACGGGCTTAGTGTAAGAGCCTAAATGATTAGAATAAGCTTTTGGGGGGTAGCTATACTGCATCATAGCATTACGTGCGTACCATCACCCTGCACACCTAGTGACTGAACCTAACCGATTGGGGCATCTGGAACCCTAGGCCCGAATCCCCAACACCTTCACCACAGCCTTCGTGTAGGGGAATCAAGAATCAAAAAAAGGTTTATGGGGCGCATTATACTAGAAATATAATGAGGAACCCCCACAAAATAGTATAGGTAAGTATTAAGGCCCCTATATTACGCAAGCTCCAGGCTTCTCTGAGGTTCAGAACTTCTGCATGTAGTTACTTGATTTGGCGGTCCAAATCCTGGGATTGCGACACGCATGACGCCAACAGAAGCTCGTATACAAGGTCGATGTAGTGAGTGAGGTTTCAACCTGAGCTTAGGCCTGCAACATCCATAGCTCTAAGGGTATTGGCTCTGTTCTGAGCTCCTGGCTGGCCTTAGACGCTGCAATCTCAACCGTAATTCAAAGCTGAAGGATCTTCCGAGGCTCTTCCCTCAACCTGAACAGTGAAGCATAAACATTAAACTCTATATCCCAAGCCCTGAAACCCCTAAACCCTAGCCCCTAAATCCCCTAAACCCTAACCCCTAAATGCCCTGAACCCTAACCCCTAAATGCCCTAAACCCTAAACCTGAATCCCCAAGCCCGAAGCCCTCAGCACAAACACCAAGGAATCCGAGTCTCGGTTGTCGTCCATGACACTGTTCATGGACTCAATCCAGTTGGCATCCAGATCGCCTAATGTAGGGGCCTTAATAATTAGAATAGCGTTTCGGGTGTATATTCTACGGTAACTATACTACAGAGCCCCAAGATAGGATGGGTAAATACTCGGACCCTATGTTCATGCTAATCTTCGAGTATCTGGACCCTGAACCCATGACCCCAAAGTCCTACATCTACTCACGGCACTTTGAGGGAGGCAGGGTTACAAGTACACTACAAGTACGTTAAACGGGCTTATGAGCAAGTCTGACGATATAGCACTTATCTTTAGCTCGAACTACAAAGTTCCATGATCGTTAGAAATGAAGGCCGCGATGCGGAGGAAGAGATCAAGCATTGGCAACATATGTCCATAGGTGCTTGGATTTAAGGCATTGGTCCCTTACGGGGCTCCTTGAAGGGCTCCAAATCTCCGGCGGGTTTACTTCATTTAAATTTGGAAGTAGCATGGACAAGCGACTTCTCAATCAGCTGCCTAAACCCTAAACCCTAAACCCTAAACCCTAAACACTAAACACTAAACCCTAAACACTAAACCCTAAACCCTAAACCAACCATAAAGAAGCAAAGCCCTAAAGGCGCTGATAGTAACGAAAAAGCACATGGGCCTTCCGGGTAGACCCCATATTAGGGTTTAGGGTTTAGGGTTTAGGGTTTAGGGTTTAGGGTTCCCAGACCCTGAACCTGATACTTGCATCCATGCCGCCATCCAGCATGATCCACTTCGGGTGCGTGTCAGGAATCTGGCCAAGATCGCGCATGACCTGCTTGATCTTACTTGGGGGTAAACAAGGAAGTAGAATTGCATACAGCTTTGTACAAAGTTTTACGGGTGCTCTGCGCACATTTCCTCGTTGATGATGGCACCTAGTTGATGATGGCTACTCCTATGAGCGTCACCTTGAAAGTAAGCAGACTACATCGATTCCTCAATAAAGCTCGACCCAAAAATGCCCGGCATGCGAGGGAGTTGGGCTGAGAGTTGAGGTTGGGGAGTTGTAAAAAGTTAGGTGTTAGTGTGTTTGGGTTTAGGCTTCAAGGTTCAGCTCGCTTGAACCTCTGTTGGGTTTTGAGGACCAGGGCTTCAAGCCTCTGCTTGTTCAAAGGACTGATTTGCGACATGTAGAGCAATGTAGAGATTCAATTTAAGGCTGGGGATTGAAGCCCTTTGCGTCTGTTGTAGATTGGAAACCTCGCATTCGAGATGCATAGCTTTAGCTGAGGCCTTCTTGGGCACTGGGTATCGAACTCATGTCTTGGGTATGTGGGGGCTGCTTGATACTCAGAGCCCGCAGGCCTTGTAGCAAATTACTGCTGGCAATAGACACGCTGCAAAGACGCAAGAGCAAGTACGAGCCGGAACGCTACCAGACAATGGCTCAATCTCCGGAAGAATGGAGCTTGAGAAGATGATGATGCACGGACTTCCTTCAAATTCCCCGACATTACCCGAACACCGGTATAAGCCAAGAAGTTTGATGATTCCCACATGGCACACCTCTAGGCAAGCAAAATCACACAGACCTCGATGGCAGCACAACATCCTCACAAGAGCCAGCCTGAACCATAAATCCTAAACTCCCTCAGCTCTGCGACGAATGCCTTGGAGATAATTCCATCCTTCCACTCGCGCGTCTGCATGTTCACGAAGCCTCGGGTGGACATCTTTCTGCGTGGATCAGGGTCTAGGGGTTTTTGAGACTTTCAGGCCTACTCAAAGACTCTAATTAAGCCCTGAGCCAAACTCTCGGCCGCGCTGGTCTGTCATGACCTGGAAAATGCGGGGCCTACACTGCAAAACAGCAGGGCCGTAGTGATCCTTGCTTGGTACATATCTCCTTGAGTGGTCCTACAGAGGTGATAAAGGTTCTGCCTTGCAGCCGGCAGGAAGTAACTAGTGTGCTGCAGTCTGCCGTCCCAGGTCGGACACACACAAGACACAAGACCACCACGCATGCTTCGGACGACATGGCAAGTCTGCGCACATTGTCACCAAACATCGCTGGACAGGGATGCCAATCTCGCAACACCCGCCTCTGTGCATGACGACGAAGCAAGCACTTATGACTCACAAATGTCTACTTCTACTGCAACGCCGGAGCGGGCCTTGCGAGCGGTTTACAGCGGCCCCTGAACCCTAAACGCTGAACCGCTGAACCCTAAAGGGCACCCTAAGGGGATTCCGACCCCCTAGGCTCGTGCTGGAAGTTGGTTTTAGGGTATCGGACTTACTACGTTTGCCTCAAACACCTGAACCCCGACGGGAAATCTGTAAGACTATATTCCGCGAACACCAAAATCTAGATCCTCAAATACAAATCCCTAAACCTAAAGATCACTGCATCGTAATGTAACCTCCAAAGCCACCAAACCTTACCCACACCCTACACCCTAAACACTAAACCCTAAAGCCCTGAAGCCCTAAAGCCTAAAGCCCTGAAGCCCTGAAGCCCTACAGCCCTAAAGCCCTGAAGCCCTAAAGCCCTAAAGCCCTAAAGCCCTGAAGCCCTAAAGCCCGAAAGCCCTAAAGCCCGAAAGCCTGGATACCTGAAGGCAGCCAAGGGGCCGTAAAGCTCGTTCGTGGAAATAGCCTTGGGACTGAAATCGACGACCGTGGTCCTTGCTCTTGGACTTTCGGGGTTTTGAAGTTTGGGGTTGGGGGTGCAGGCCGGTATGTCTAGCCCTAAGGGTCCAAGTAGTTCCTATTTATGGTTTTTACCTAAACAGGCCCTAAAGTCCTATAATAGGGAGTACGTGGACCCTCTGGGTAGGGGTTAAGGGGTTTCGGACTTTTGGGGTTTAGGGCTTAGGGGGTTCGGATGTCGGCTCGAAATTTAGGTTTGGTTAGATCTTATCTGCGTGTCAACGAGATTTTCCCAGAGCTCCTGTCTTTAAAGGAGGTCCCTTTCAGAGTGGTTCAGGGCTCTGTGGGGATGTAGGGTTTGGTCTTAAACCCTCAACCCTAAATTTCGGGGTTCAGGGTTTCAGGCGTAGGGCTCATGGGTTCATAAATTGTAGGCTTTCGACACCAGGTTGAGAGCTGCTTCCTTTTGGCTTCGTGGAGCTTCCAGGACAAGGATCTTCTGGGTTTTGGGCTTTTGGCTCGGGCATTTAAAGCTTTTGGTTTGGGTCTCAAAGCTTTCGGCGTTTGGCGAGGGCGGTCATTCATGAGCCTAGGGGTACTTCTCAGCAGGGGTACTTCTCAGCCACTACCGAAGATTTAAGAAGATTGTTGAATTATTTGGAAGATTGTTGAAGAAAAACGAATTATTTGGAAGATTGTTGAAGAAAAATGAATTATTTGGAAGATTATTGAAGAAAAACAAATTATTTGGAAGATTGTGGCAGAAATGCGAATTATGTGAGGGTTTCAATTTGAGGCTTAAACACGGTTTAGGGTTTAGGGCTCATGGTTTAGGCTTCCTGGCACGGCTCGAGGACCTGCCAAAATGGAACACCGAGGTTTAGGGTTTAAAGATTCTAGGTCTAGTATTGGTCAGCTTCGGGGCCCACAAAGTTTAGGGTGCCAACTTCCGAGGTTCAGGGTTTAAAGGTTTAGGGTTTAGGGCTTACGGTTGTTCGGGTCTAAAGGTGTAGGGTTTAGGGTTTAGGGTTTGGGTGAAAACACCCACTTTGTGGGAGTACTAGAGTTGAAAACAAATATGAGTAATCGAGTAGTGAAGTAATAGAGTAATAGAATAATAGAGTAGTAGACTAATAGAGTACTAGAGTATTTGAGTAATAGAGTAATAGAGTAATAGAGTAATAGAATAATAGAGTAATGGAGTAACAGAGTAATAGACTATGTGTGTGGAAAATTGAAACCCTTTGCTATGTTCGCGAAGCGAGGAAATTTTTTTGTTTTTTTATGCAAAATTCATGCAAATGCTTTTGGTGCGAGTGTCTGGAGCAAGCCTTGTAGTGTGTGTGGAGTACTAGAGTTGAAAACAAATATGGATGTTCGCGAAGCGAGGAAATTTTTTTGTTTTTTTATGCAAAATTCATGCAAATGCTTTTGGTGCGAGTGTCTGGAGCAAGCCTTGTAGTGTGTGTGGAGTACTAGAGTTGAAAACAAATATGGATGTTCGCGAAGCGAGGAAATTTTTTTGTTTTTGGTGCGATGCAAAAGTACTAGAGTCGAAACCAAATATGGATGTTCGCGAAGCAAATGCAAAATTCATGCAAATGCTTTTGATGCGAGTGTCTGGAGCAAGCCTTGTAGTGTGTGTGGAGTACTAGAGTTGAAAACAAATATGGATGTTCGCGAAGCGAGGAAATTTTTTTGTTTTTTTATGCAAAATTCATGCAAATGCTTTTGGTGCGAGTGTCTGGAGCAAGCCTTGTAGTGTGTGTGGAGTACCAGAGTTGAAAACAAATATGGATGTTCGCGAAGCGAGGAAATTTTTTGTTTTTATATGCAAAATTCATGCAAATGCTTTTGGTGTGAGTGTCTGGAGCAAGCCTTGTAATTAGTGTGTGTGGAGTACTAGAGTTGAAAACAAATATGGATGTTCGCGAAGCGAAGAAATTTTTTGTTTTTTATGCAAAATTCATGCAAATGCTTTTGGCGCGAGTGTCTGGAGCAAGCCTTGTAGTGTGTGTGGAGTACAAGAGTTGAAAACAAATATGGATGTTCGCGAAGCGAGGAAATTTTTTGTTTTTTTATGCAAAATTTGCAAATGCTTTTGGTGCGAGTATCTGGAGCAAGCCTTGTAGTGTGTGTGGAGTACTAGAGTTGAAAACAAATATGGATGTTCGCGAAGCGAGGAAATTTTTTGTTTTTTTATGCAAAATTCATGCAAATGCTTTTGGTGCGAGTGTCTGGAGCAAGCCTTGTAGTGTGTGTGGAGTACTAGAGTTGAAAACAAATATGGATGTTCGCGAAGCGAGGAAATTTTTTGTTTTTTTATGCAAAATTCATGCAAATGCTTTTGGCGCGAGTGTCTGGAGCAAGCCTTGTAGTGTGTGTGGAGTACTAGAGTTGAAAACAAATATGGATGTTCGCGAAGCGAAGAAATTTTTTGTTTTTTTATGCAAAATTCATGCAAATGCTTTTGGTGCGAGTATCTGGAGCAAGCCTTGTAGTGTGTGTGGAGTACTAGAGTCGAAACCAAATATGGATGTTCGCGAAGCGAAGAAATTTTTTGTTTTTTATGCAAAATTCATGCAAATGCTTTTGGTGCGAGTGTCTGGAGCAAGCCTTGTAGTGTGTGTGGAGTACTAGAGTTGAAAACAAATATGGATGTTCGCGAAGCGAAGAATTTTTTTGTTTTTTTATGCAAAATTCATGCAAATGCTTTTGATGCGAGTGTCTGGCGTCTGGAGCAAGCCTTGTAGTGTGTGTGGAGTACTAGAGTTGAAAACAAATATGGATGTTAATTTTTTGTTTTTTATGCAAAATTCATGCAAAATCTCGCGAAGCGAGGAATTTTTTTTTTTTTTATGCAAAATTCATGCAAATGCTTTTGGTGCGAGTGTCTGGAGCAAGCCTTGTAGTCTTCCCTGTTCTACGTAAGACTGCTGCATGCTTTTAAATTCTTCTAAATTCTTCTAGATTCGTCGGAATTCTGCAATTTTCTTCCAAAATCTTCCGGTTTCTGCCTGTCTGTCAAGACATGCCTGGTTCCCAACACCATTTTTTTTCATTTGTACACACACACGGTATCCCCCATTTCTTCGTTTTTCTACCTTTTCTACCTTTTTCTACCTTTTTCTACCCTTTTTCTACCTTTTTCTACCTTTTTCTACCTTTTTCTACCTTTTATTCGGTTGAGGTTTGTTTTTTTTTCTCTTTTTTTCCCCTTTCTACCGGCATGCTTGGGGGAAGGAAATGCTGCCCGATTTTCAGCCCCTCCCCCCCCCCTCCCCTAGGCCATACGTTTAGGGCCTAGGGTTTAGGGCCTTAGGTTTAGGGCCTAGGGTTTGGGGCCTTAGGTTTAGGGCCTAGGGTTTGGGGCCTTAGGTTTAGTGCCTAGGGTTTAGGGCCTTGCGTTTAGGGCCTTGGGTTTAGGGCCTAGGGTTTAGGGCCTAGGGTTTGGGGCCTTAGGTTTAGGGCCTAGGGTTTGGGGCCTTAGGTTTAGGGCCTAGGGTTTGGGGCCTTAGGTTTAGTGCCTAGGGTTTAGGGCCTTACGTTTAGGGCCTAGGGTTTAGGGCCTAGGGTTTAGGGCCTAGGGTTTGGGGCCTTAGGTTGACGGCCTAGGGTTTGGGGCCTTAGGTTTAGGGCCTAGGGTTTAGGGCCTTACGTTTAGGGCCTAGGGTTTAGGGCCTTAGGTTTAGGGCCTAGGGTTTAGATGTATGTATATACGTGTGTATGTATGTATGTTTGTATGTATGCATGTATATGTATGTATGTATGTATGTATGTATGTATGTATGTATGTATGTATGTATGTATGTACATGTGTGTGTGGGTGTGCAGGTGTGTATGTTCGTATGTGTAGGTGTTTATGTGTGTGTGTGTGTCTGTGTGTGTATGCATGTGCTTATGTATGTATGCATGTATGGATGTATCTGCCTATGTATGTATGTATATGTATGTATGTACCTATGTATGTACTCATTTACACACACATACAAATGTATACATAATTGCGCATACGTATATACATGCATGTGTATATATTTATAGGTGCGTATATATAGATATATGTCTGATATATATATATATATGTATACATGTCTGTATCTATATATATTGTTTGTGTATGTATATACATACACATGTATGTATATACGTGTGTGTCTACCTATATGTAATATCTGTAAACAGATATAAATATATGAAGAATCGCCATTAAGGTCATCACCAACCTCGCCATAATTATTAAAACCATCATCATGCTCGTCATAATTATCAAACCACCATCATCGTCTTCATAGCCCTAGTCTTCTTCGTAGAACCCAGATTTTATAATCATCAACATCATCATCACATATCATCATACACATCGCCAACGACATATTCACAATCGTCATCATAATCAGCATCGGCCATCATCAGTCATCGTTGTTATCATCCACATAGAACGTCGTTATAGTCATCATCATAAACATCGAATCATCAATGAGACAGAAGCCAAGAAGCTGGAATAATTACCAGTACTTTTGCTCAGGGCTCAAGGCTCCTTGTTTTTACTGTTACACATCCCGGCGTTCACGGCTTTGAAACATGCGACAATAATCAACAACATGTTGTTACGAAACAGAGTCTACTTAATGTATTTCCGAACAGGGTGAGAATTGAAATTTCCTATAGGATTTGTGAAAAAAACAAGGGTGCGAATTGTAATTTCCCATAGGATATGTATTTCCGAACAGGGTGCGAATTGTAATTTCCCATAGGATTTGTGCTTGGAATCCAAGAAAAACAAGGGTGCGAATTGTAATTTCCCATAGGATATGTATTTCCGAACAGGGTGCGAATTGTCATTTCCCATAGGATTTGTGCTTGGAATCCAAGAAAAACAAGGGTGCGAATTGTAATTTCCCATAGGATATGTATTTCCGAACAGGGTGCGAATTGTAATTTCCCATAGGATTTGTGCTTGGAATCCAAGAAAAACAAGGGTGCGAATTGTAATTTCCCATAACAGGGTGCGAATTGTCATTTCCCATAGGATTTGTGCTTGGAATCCAAGAAAAACAAGGCTGCGAATTGTAATTTCCCATAGGATATGTATTTCCGAACAGGGTGCGCATTGTAATTTCCCATAGGATTTGTGCTTGGAATCCAAGAAAAACAAGGGTGCGAATTGTAATTTCCCATAGGATGCTGTACCATGCCAAGAAACAGAATATGTATTTCCGAACAGGGTGCGAATTGTAATTTCCCATAGGATTTGTGCTTGGAACCCAAGAAAAACAAGGGTGCGAAGTGTAATTTCCCATAGGATATGTATTTCCGAACAGGGTGCGAATTGTAATTTCCCATAGGATTTGTGCTTGGAATCCAAGAAAAACAAGGGTGCGAATTGTAATTTCCCATAGGATGCTGTACCTGGATGCCAAGAAACAGAGTCTACTTAATGTATTTCCGAACAGGGTGCGAATTGTAATTTCCCATAGGATTTGTGCTTGGAATCCAAGAAACACAAGCGCTAATCAGGGTGCGAGCGGGTGCGAATTGTAATTTCCCATAGGATATGTATTTCCGAACAGGGTGCGAATTGTAATTTCCCATAGGATTTGTGCTTGGAATCCAAGAAAAACAAGGGTGCGAATTGTAATTTCCCATAGGATGCTGTACCTGGATGCCAAGAAACAGAGTCTACTTAATGTATTTCCGAACAGGGTGCGAATTGTAATTTCCCATAGGATTTGTGCTTGGAATCCAAGAAAAACAAGGGTGCGAATTGTAATTTCCCATAGGATGCTGTACCTGGATGCCAAGAAACAGAGTCTACTTAATGTATTTCCGAACAGGGTGCGAATTGTAATTTCCCATAGGATTTGTGCTTGGAATCCAAGAAAAACACGGGTGCGAATTGTAATTTCCCATAGGATATGTATTTCCGAACAGGGTGCGAATTGTAATTTCCCATAGGATTTGTGCTTGGAATCCAAGAAAAACAAGGGTGCGAATTGTAATTTCCCATAGGATATGTATTTCCGAACAGGGTGCGAATTGTAATTTCCCATAGGATTTGTGCTTGGAATCCAAGAAAAACAAGGATGCGAATTGTAATTTCCTATAGGATATGTATTTCCGAACAGGGTGCGAGCTGGCGGTTTCAGCGGGGGAAACAAGCAGAAGTCTAGAAACGTGTTTGAATTCTCCGCAGATACAACGAAGAATTTCGAAGAATTTCGAAGAGTTACGAAGATCTAAGAGGAATGGTCTAGAAAAGTGTTTGAAGTTCTCCGCAGATACAACGAAGAATTTGGAAGAATTTCGAAGAATTTCGAAGATTTACGAAGATCTGAGAAGAATGGTCTAGAAAAGTGTTTGAAGTTCTCCGCAGATACAACGAATAATTTGGAATAATTTGGAATAATTTCGAATAATTTCGAATAGTTTCGAATAATTTCGAAGATTTACGAAGATCTAAGAATAATGGTGAAGAACCTGGAAGAATGAAGAATATTATGGAAGTTTACCGAAGAAAACGTAATATTTCCGAATATTTAAGCAGAAATTCAAACATTTCTGAATATTGTTGAATAGGGTTAAACACACTGAGAAGTACCCTTCTGAGAAGCCTCCCTATCCTCACAGAAGAGGCGGGGTAGGGCTTGATCTCATAAATTGGCGTAAGCAGAAGTAGAATGAAGCTATGACTACAAGGGGTTACTAGAATTATAATTAACTAAATAACCAGACCTCTGTATTCAGAGTTGTACGGGTTGAGGGTGAAGACTTCTTGCGAATTGCAGGTGGGTGTTTCAGGGTTTCGGCTGAGAGTTGGAAGGCTTTGGTCCGGTTCTAGGCTTCTCGGTGGTCTGGGGCGTATAAGGTTTAGGGCCAGCTTAGGGGTGAGGGTTGAGGGCTTAGGATTTGAGTTGTAGAGTACAGGCTTGGGTTGTCATGAGCAGTCTGAGAGTCCGACAGCTTGCGAGACCATACCTTACAATCCTGGCACAAACATCATTAAAAGCTCTGGATTTAGCCCTTCTCTTGCAAATCTTTGGGTTGAGGGGTGCGGGTTGAGCAAGAGCCGGAATAGGTTCCAAGTGCACACCCAACTAAGCCCCCGTCAACACCAACCCACACACACACGCACAAACACATACACACACACACACACACGCGCACACACACACACACACACACACACACGGGAACACCTGCACCTATTCAGCGATTGATGCTAGGACGAAGCGGGCGACTGTCCGCGTCAGGTCAAACGTACAACAAAGTTTCAGCCCCCCTTCCCACAACGACCTAGTCACCCCCCCTGCGCCTGCCCGACTATAGCTCCCAAACCTTCAAAGCTGTGCGTCTTCTCACCCCGTCGCGTCTTCGCGTTCTTCAGAATTTTCCTCGGGCAGCGGGCGCTGTGGGTTGGCATCAAGACTTAATTTAATGGCCAGGGCCTCGAATCGCCTCTGCTACATCTGCTTGGACCATATAAACCCCAATGTCCCTAAACCCTATATAAGTTTCAACGCCACGGAACCGATGTTTCCGGCCCCATGAGCCTGTAACAAGGATTTGACAGACTTCAAGTGCTTTCTCAATCCGGAAACCCTTATGGCAAACCCGAATCGCATGAGTGTTCCACCTCAGTTGTTTCCGTAATCCCCGGCGTATTTTCAACCGTTAACCCACACACCCCAGAGCCCGAAAAAGCTCCACCCTCTGTCAGCCTGAACCCGGCAACCCGACCGATCCCGACCGCTTTCCACGGCATACAAGCAGTGTTACACTGAAGCCTTCGAAGCGCGATACGTTCGCATCATGGCACCGCCTACACAGTTTGGGCTTTAGGAGCTCTGAATGACTTTGGGTTCAGGACTCTCAGCTTAGGGGTTTTCTGAGAGCATCACCAAACAGTGCAACTCCGCGATGATGTGTCTCTGCCCATTTCTACCATTCCTGGTGCTAACGGTTGATGATAAAAATCCTGCGTTACCCACAAGAACGAATATATCATGATTCCCAAAGTCTAGGGCCATTAAGGTAATGCAGGATTTGTATCATCAACCGCTCTGTGATACACGATCTTGAGCCCATAGGGAGCAATTGCAGTTTTCAGGTTTTAGGCGCCAGGGCTTGCGCTTGCGGGCTCACGGTTTTTGGACTTAGGGTTCAAGGGCTCAGATAATTACCTACCTCTTTTCAAGAAATCTCAAGCTATAGGACTCTAGGAAAATATGAGCTGTGAGTCCCTTTACAACTACTACTGTTTAGGGTTTAGGGTTTAGGGTTTAGGGTTCAGGGTTTAGGGTTTAGGGTTTAGGGCTATTCCATCTATCAAGGCGATACACCCCATCCTACTCGTTCAAGCCCCCCTAATCTCGGCCCAGGGACCACATTGCGGATTTGAAGCTTCCCGGATTGCCCATCAAGAAGACGCAGTGACGGATTCCTCTCGGGTGTAGAGATGGGCCGTGGACCCTCTGGGTCGATCCGGCGATTTTTGCACGTTTTGGACGGGTTTACAGGGCTTTGCAAGGGAAACCCTAAACCCTTAAACCTCATTTATTGAGGATCATATCGTCGGATCACCAGACGCTCGTTACAACCCGTAGAAAGCAGACTTTGGGCAGGGCTGCACACCTCTGACTCTGACGGTTTTCGGCTGTGCAGCGCTCAGGGGTTCAGCATTTCAGGGGGTTTCTCGAATCTTGATTTCGGTCACCCCCAGCCCCGTCCTAGCAACTCAATCAGCTGCGTGATCTTCAGCAGGAGGTAGCCGTCCGGATCATGCGTGTAACCATAGTCCGCCTGCATGACGTCCACCAGCACTTCCTGGCATACGGCTGATGATATGAATCCTGCATTACCCATAAGAAGGAATGTACCATACTTCCCATAGTTTAAGGTCCTTATAAGAAAATGCAAGATTTATAGGTCTACCTATAGTCTCCATTGTAGTTCCTTTTTTGGTTAACCCGAATCTCTATTATAGGATCCTAACCATAAAACTGGTTAACTTCCCATAGCTTAAGGTCCTTATAAGGTAATGCAGGATTTATATCATCAACCGTAGTAGTCGACCTGGAACCTTCAACTCGAAGCCCTAACCGATCAACCTAAACGATAGTAACAGTAGTAACAATAGTAATAATAGTAAGAATAGTAAGAATAGTAAGAACAGTAAGAATAGTAAGAATAGTAATAGCAATAATGGTAATAATACAAATAATACTATAGTCCCTTGGACCCTCCAAACTTGTCGAATCCCTAGTATTCTGAAGTTAAGTCCGGCAAAATGGAAACGCCAAGTCCCGAAGTCTCGACACGGCTCGAACGTTACGGGTTCCTAATCCCTTACTGATGGGAGGCCAAAACTGGGGTTGAAGATTCTTGGGGTAGGGATTCCTTCATATGAACCCCATTATGAGAACCCTGATCCCTACTAAACCCCCATAGGCTAAAACCCCTTTTGGCCTCCTATGACCCTTCCCCTGCTCCCCCACACCTCCATTTCATAGTCGCGGGCACGCGGCACGTCGATTCCTGCGGCAGGATAGCAGTATAGGGCAAGGTTTAAGTTGGATAGACAGACAGAAAGATGGACAGATAGACATACATGTCTGTAAGGTATATTCTCGATCCCCCGTGATGTGCTAGGCCTGGGGTGGCCATGTGCATACGGACATGTACATGTACACGTATAGGTACAGGCATGTGGACGTGTATATGTATAGGTATAGATGTATACGTATAGGTGTGTATGTATTTGCAGAAAGTATGTGAATACTGTTGAAGTGCATATGGGCATGCATGTATGCATGTACACCTGTACACATGTATGCATGTACGTATGCACGTGTACATGTGTGCATGTGGGAATGCATTTATGCACGTGGGTGGTTGTCAAAATTATGGTCCCTTTTTGTGTCCTTATTATAATACGGCGCCTGATATTCAGGGTACCCAAAGAGGGACCATAATTTTGACAACCACCCAAATGCGCTTTATACCTGCCGTCGTAAGACCCGGCAGAGCCCACTAAAGTCCTTGGAACGTACTTAGCAGCTGAGGGGCTGAGCACCCTAGCCCAACCCAGGTTCACCGTCACCACATAGTAGGATTATAATATAAGCCCCGAAGGTTAGCGGTCTAGATTATAGCAGGATTATATAAGCCCCAAAAGATTAAAGCTTACCTACTGACTCAGCCCCGATGCCAAGTCCCCTGATCATCGAAGTAAGCTACGCTTCGAGGCCTTACTATGCCCTATCAAACATCCAGGACTCGTACTAAGTAACTGACCCCACCTACCCTAAGCCCGTCCCAAAACCCTACACGACACCCATAGAAACCTAAACACTAAACCAAATCCTAAAGTCCTAAACCCTAATCCCTAAATCCAAAGCCAGGGACCTGGGAACAGGTCGGCTAACAGGCCCATGAAGATTTTCAGGTCGTCACCTTCGATCTTGGCCACGTTGGTGTCCTGAGCTTTAACCCTAAACCCTAAACCCCTAAGCCCCTAAAGCCGTAAACCCTAAACCCCTAAAACCTTTAACGGCCCTTAAACTGAAAAGCCGATGTTGTACTGGACCGAAACACCTACGTAAGCAAAAGCCTAGAACCTCAGAATGCTTCCAACTCACCCTCAGAAAACCACGAATCAGGACTACTTCGAGGGCACACAAGAGCCCCATAGGCTGAAGTTACCCCCTAAACTCTAAATCGTGAACCCTAAACCCCAAGAAATCATTAGTGCCAAGGTCTTGGGGTCCAGCACAAGCACTCGCGCCTGGCGGCTTAGTCTTCAGGATTCGTCAAAAGGCTTCTACCGCCGAAGTAGCAAACCCTAAACCGTAACACCCTCAGCCCTAGAGCCCTAAAAACCCGAAACAGCCCCAACCCGAAAATCGAAATCCCAGAAACATCTATATACCCCTGGTTACACCCAAGCCCGAAACCCAGGACCCTCCACAAAGCAATGCCGCCCAGCTTCTCGCAAGGAGCGCATGAGCACAGCTTGCTCGGACAAGCTGGCATCAGCTCCTCAGATTTCCGGGTGTTCTCTAGTCGTGTGTTGCTTTTGATTTTTTTTACGGTTGAGGGTTTAAGTCTTGTGTCCAGGTTTAGAGTTTAGGGCTTAGGTACGACGTGATCCCGGGTTTACTGGAGCCCCTTTCAATTAGAAAAGTATGGGGATTGTTGGGATGCTGGGGCTTTGTGATCCTTTGTGCAGCTTGTGAGCTTGATTTAGGGCCCAGTCTTTGGGCTTAGGGCTAAGGGTCTTAGGTTTTAGGGCTTAGGGCTTAGGGTTAAGGGTCTTAGGGTTTAATGTCTTAGGGTTAAGGGTCTTACGGTTTAGGATCTTAGGGTTAAGGGGTCTTGGGGCCCCGTCTTGGGCCAAAAAGGCTCCTTCACTAAGGATACTTCGATTTTGGCGAAATGGCCAGGACTCCCTCAAATCAAAGGGGAAAAGGAGGGACCCTTAATAAGGACCCCTAGGTATATACCATTAATACAGCTATTCTATACCCACTATATAGCCCATTATAGGGTAGGGGTCCCCATTAAGGGTCCCTCCTTTTCCCCTTTGATCAAAAGAAACCCAAAACTTCATAACCCTAAGCGGCTTTGCTCAAGTAGTTAACTAAGACCCCTGCCAATGCCGTAATATAGGGGTCTTAACAATTACCTATACTATTTTTTGGGGGGGGTCCTTACTCTAATTTTAGCAGAATATAACCCCAAACCCTAAACAATTGTTAAGGTCCCTATATCCCTATATTATGAACCCGAGCAAACCGAGGCATGGCACGCTTGAAGCCGCCGGCCACGACCAGCACGGACTTGATGGCGCGCATGCCCCAATCCTCAACCGCTTCGGAATGAGGTACTTGGAGGATCATGGGAATTAGTAAGTAGGGTTATAGGTACTTTGATTGGGGTTATAAGTAATTATAAGTACAGTTACCTTAATTATAACCCTAGTCACTAAGTCCCATGACCCTTTAAGTAGGGCTTAATGGCTCAACTGTTGCGCAAGGAGATCGCGAATTCAGGTTTCCTGGAAGGCTAAACCACTGGCAAATAGAAAGCCCCCGGTATCGATTTTTAAGCCCCTCAACCCAATGTCCAGAGCTTCGTGGGTGGTTGTCAAAATTCGGGTCCCTGTTTGGGTCCTCATTATAATACGGCACCTAATATTTAGGGTACCCAAAAAGGGACCCTAATTTTGACAACTACCCTCGTAGATACAAGCCATCCGCAGCGAGAAGGAGAGGCTGATGTGACTTCAGTAACGGGGCTGGGGAGGTCGTCGGGCTCGGAGTCAGAGATGGTCGATGGGTTTGGGGTTTTGGAGTTTAGCTAGACCCAAGAGTAACCTAGGAATAAAAAGGGTGCCCTTTTTGGTTTAAAGGGACTTATAAGGGAACCTGAACCCTAAAAAAGGGAATAAGGGCCTACTCTGGGTCCTGGTTAGGGTGTGGGACTTTCGGGCTTTTCGGCTTTGGGGTTTGGGGTTTCCGGCTTTGGGCTTTGGGATGAAGGCTTTTGGCTTTAAGTCGCGGTGACTCTCCTTTGAAGGCTTCGGATTGAGGGTTCAGGATGTTGGGGGGTGGGGATGAGGGTTCAAGGCTTCGGGCGATGGCTCTGGGCATAGTGACCGGAGTTGCGGTGGTGGGTGTCCGGCTTAGGGATCGCCCTCTGCCTCTTGGGGTATTGCTAAGAAGTTGTTGAAGAAACTCCCGAGATCCAGCTATCTGAAGATCTGGCGTAGTGCTTCAGAGGAGGCGTGATAGATCCTCCCCCTGATGGTCTTGCCAGGCTGTCTAGGGCATCTAAGCACGAGCCTCAACTCGAGGCAGAACGTGCGCCAGAAAACTGCCGTCGCTGTCGATACTGCTACGACTATGATTGTATGTGGTTGTTCCTTCGGAGAGGTATGACAGCCAATTCTTGCAGACAGTAGACCCAGATAAAACCGAAGATTGAAAACTCCAAAGCATTCAGTACATGATGGATATTGTTGTGGACTCCCGCAGCCCCACAAGCCTACACCAGAAACCTTTGTCTTTGGAATCGTCCGCCTTAAGCTGCAGCCGCAAGAACGCCTTTTCTGCGACTTGAAAGGGCACTGGTGTCTTTGGTGTGTCTGTGCCTACACGGCGTCACCCAGGCATGGGCCAATCAATTCACTGGCATCCGGCTCCAGGGGGGCTATCCCTAAGAGGGATCATGAAAAGCTCTCTGATGCCCTTAATGTAATTAGGGCCTCACAATCCTGTCATACGGCTGTATAAGGGATGTATCAGGGTTTCACAGTAATTATAGTGGCCTTGATAGCCAAAGTGTGCTAAAGCGTAGAAAGGGATGTGGAAGAAGGGATAGCCTTTAGATTTTTACACCTCCCTGTGGCTCGAATTTCGCTCCTAGCTCCGACAGCTTCTTGTGCGCTCGGGCGTAATCGGCAAAGAAGGCGTTCCTGGGCCGGGGCTGGTGCAGTGCAGATTACAGAGAAGGCTCAGGGTTTAGGTCCTTTAAAAGGGATCCATAAGATTACTATAAGGGTTTAGCTGTTTAGGGTTTAGGGGTTTTAGGGCTCAAAACTCAGGGTTTAGGGTTCTCGGATCTTCGCAGCTCGGCAATGGTAGACCGTTCAGCACGCCCCATGGTCATCGTACTCCATCATCCAACACTACGGTTGATGATATAAATCCTGCATTACCAATAATAAGGGATATACCATAACTCCCATAGTTTAGGGTCCTTAAGGTAATGTAGGATTTGTATCATCAACAGCATGGTCAACACCGTATTCATCGTCACCGTCGTCATCACCATTGCCATAGGACCTAGGGCCTTACACAAGCATGCCGGGAACCCAAAACCTTCAGGCCTCAGCCTCAAGCCCGAGTACCCGAAGCCCAACACCCTAAAGCCTAAACCCTAAATCCCAAACCTCAGTGCCAGGCTCTACTTTCATAAATACGGACTTTCCTTCTTTATCACTCTAGCTACGAAGCTCACGATCGGTTACGCCCCAAATCCTCACAGGTCCTTAAATAGAATCCTCTAAAGGACCCCTTTGAGCAACCCTTTAAGGAAACCTAAACCCTAAGCCCCCCAAAAAGAGAGCCTAAGCCTGACACCCTAATTAGACCCCGGAACCCCTAAACCCGAAGCCCCTAAAGCCCTAATTCGGGTTTAGGGTTTAGGGTTTAAATTCCGTGAAACCCCTGGGCCCCTAAAACCCTACGGAGCCCTCTTCAGCATTCCGCATCTCCAAAGGTAAAATGAGGGACGCTTAATAAGGACCCCTAGGTATATACCCTTAATGTAGCTATTATATAGCCATTATATAGCCCATTAGGGTAGGGGTCCCCATTAAGGGTCCCTCCTTATCCCCTACTAAACCCTAAACCCTAAACCCTAAACCCTAAACCCCTATAGATCTCTTTAAAGGAACCTAGGAGCCCTAACTTCAGGGTCCATCCTTTTTCCCTAAACCCCCCAAACCCCCAAACCCTGAACCATAGACCCTTATACCCTTATAGAATCCCTATAGATCCCTTTAAAGGGTCCCTCCTTTTCCCCTAAGACTGTCCGAGGCTCTGGTCTGCTGCGTACTTGTCGAAGTGCGGCTTGAAGCCTCGAGGACCCCGGGTTAAGGCCTTGGGAGGCTCTTAGGGGTTTAGGCTTTGGCGGATTAGGGATTAGGGGTTTGGGGGGTTTTGGGTTTAGGGTTTGGGGATTGGGGGTTTGGGGCCTTTTTAGGGTTTAGGCCTTGGCGGTTTACAGCAGAGTCAGAATTTAGGTTTAGGGTTTAGGGATTAGGGGTTTGGGGGTTTTGGGTCCAGGGTCTGGGGGGTTTAGGGATTAGGGGTTTGGGGGTTTTGGGTCTAGGGTCTGGGGCTTGGGGCTGAGGGGGTAGGGCTTTGGGGGTTTGGGATAAGGGTTTAGGGCTTTAGGGTTATCGGGTCTAGGAGCTTAAGATAGGGAACCCTTATGTACATGCTGGAACTCGGAAAAGGAAACGGCCATCGTATTTTTTGGGTGTTCCCGGGTTTAGGGGTAGAGTGTCATTGTTTGGGGTCTTCGGATTTGAAAATTTCGTCCTTGGGGTTGAGGGCTTTAGCATTGAAGGTTTGGGGTTGCAGAGTTTCGGTCTAAGGATCTTAGGCTTGATTCTTAAAACTTGGGGTGGGGGCTCAGGCTAGCTTAAGGGCATTTGGTTGTTGTGTAGGGCTGTAGGATTCAACATGGGGGCTTTAATGATTGGAATAAGGCTTTCGGGTGTATATCATAGTATAGTTCTTTCAGGGAACCCTGGCCCTAAGGAATAGCGTTCCTCGTGTTCAGGCTTCTATATTAAGGCCCCGCTGCCTGGATCGGTATGAAGCGCCTCATCCGTAGGAAACCAGAGGAGGTTGTCGTCCGCCATCGCGTCCTGGGGTTCCGAGCTCCACAAACTGAAGAGTCGTGGCTTTGGGGTGTGCCAAAAATGGTTCCAGGCACGCTGCAAGGGTTGCGGCTTAGGGCTTACGATGTTTTGCGGCTCGCCCCACCCGAAACTCTGTCTAGTATGGAGGGTTGAAGCTTTCAGAAATAGAAGCTTAAGGAAGGAAGACATATCAAAAGTCGCAACCTACCCTAAACCCTAAACCCCTTGCAAAAAAAATCTGAAGCTCCAGGAGACCCCAGTCTTCGAAAAAACCGCAAAAAATCGTCAAGAAGAAACCCAAGCATCCTTGTAGCGGCTGAAATAGGAGTTGTCGAAGGTCAGCCAGTTCTTCGTCCAGGGGCAACCACCAGCCATGCCTACGCCTTCGGCATTGTCCTGAGGCGCAGGGTCTGGGTTCGAGAAGAAGGACCGCGATTCCCCGTAATTTTCAAACGAATCTAAGGATCCCCCATGCCCTATTCTTACTACCCCAATAAGCCACAGACATGAAAGGTTAGACTTCCTGATTCCTACTAAACTATAAGAGCCCGAAAAGTGTAAAGGTTTGGTATTGGGGATCTAAGCTATTTTTGGGCTTTATAGCCTAGGATTTAGCATTTCGGAGTCTAGGGTCAGCTCATTACCCTGTGTACACTGTGTCCAAATTCTAAACCGCAACAGCTCACACCCTCCAAACAAAAGGCGATACCCTCAAGCCCTACACATTAAATACCCCAACATCGAAACCATGCACATGCTGCATACAGAACGTGCCACCCAACCTCTCCTTTCGGACCTTGCATGTGGACTTGGTGTGCTTTGAAGCACTCGCATCGCCATAGCCGAAGGGGCAAGCCCCGCTCCGCTCCTCTTGGGTGATTGTCAAAAGTATGGTCCCTATCTTTGGGTACCCTAAGTATTAGTTATTAGGTGCCGTATTAGAATAAGGACCCAAGAAGGGACCCTAATTTTGACAACCACCCTCTTGGAATTTAGGGTTTAGGGTTTCAAGGTTTGTGTCCATGGGGTCTTAATGGATAGAATACTGTAGGGTTTGGGGGTATACTATCACGATTCCTGTCGAGCCTTGAAGAGGTGTTTACAAAAGGGTTTGGCTTTGGGGTGTAGAGCTTAGGCCGTGGGGTTCGGGGATTAACAAAGGCTGTGGACTTAGGGTCGAGGTTAGGTACGGCCCCCATACAGTAAGAGTCTACAAAAGGGCTACTTAGTACTGTCCTACTATATCTATATTATGAATGTTATTCAACTATTGCTGAGTCGGGGCCGTACCCAAGGTCTAGGGTTTAAGGCTAAGAGCTTAGGGTCAGAAGGGCTCGGGCTCTATGCCGGAAGGTCGGTTCAAGAGATCCACGGAGGTTTAGGAAGGATTTCAACTTCTTTGGGGATTTAGGGTTTAGGGTTTAGGGG